TATATATATATATATATATATATATATATATATATATAAAACTTTATCGCTAATATCGGCTGATTCCAATACCAAGCTGACAATATCGTGCATCCCTAATCAACACAAAAGACTATAACACGATGAAAGTCGTTTTGTCCACTTCAACAGAATTAATAAAACAGAAGGAATGTAAAAGAAATTTCCTCTCAACGATTTGATACAATCTATTTAATACTGCTCTCCTTCTAAATTTCCTTCCGTTTTTTCATTTTAAAACTACGACGGAGCTTTAGGGCCACGCTAAGAATTTTTTTTTTTAAGCCATAAATTTACGAGAATAAAGTCGTCCGAGACTTTTTTTTTTTTTTTTTACAGCTATCGTTTATTTATTTTAATTTTTTCCACGAGTCAGATCCATGATGCGACCTGTCAATCAATCCAGTAGGCGTGTCAGCAAATGACCAATCCGAAGCTAAATGCTCTTTACCTGCAGAGCTGCGCTGCAGCCCATCAGAGCGTACCACCTGATACTGACAATAATCTGGTGCTCATGTGCTAACAGATTAAGTAGCTCATTTGTAAAACCAATACCAAAGTATAACTTAACAAGATGCTCAACATTCTTCATTTTACCAGTTACAATGCGGTAAACTCTGCGTTCGGATAATATTACGACTCGTTTAGCTTCGGATTGGTCATTTGCTGACACGCCCACTGGATTGATTGACAGGTCGCACGTGGATCCGACTCGTGGAAAAAAAATAAACGAAAGCTGCAAAATTACGAACAAAAAAAACTGTCTTGTACGACTTTATTCTTGTAATATTAAGACTTTATTTGACTTTATTCTCGTAATACTACGACTTTATTCTCGTAATTTTATGGCTTTAAAAAAATTGTTTTTTTCTTAGCATGACCCTAAAGCTCTGTCGTATAAAACAGACGCCACGTTATATAACACACACAAAAAAAAGAAAATCAAACGGTCAACACAGCCCATAAACCCGGAGACCCAGTCGGCTGCTCGTTCTCGCATGCTGACCTTCAGTAACAGCAAGTTAACACTGATTTGATCTCAACACTTCATTACAGTAACAGGTGAGTTAACAGTAAACAACCACTGATCTCTGTAGTGCAGATTTTACTAACACCCCTTCGCAAACTTTTACTTCTAAACACAACCGACGTCATTTCGAGGTGATGTAGAAGAAAAACAGCACATGCATGTTTTAACTGACCCACAGCAGCAACAAGTGGCTCAGAACACTGCACTCCAGTCTGTGCTCACCACGTTGTTGATTTACAAAAAAAAAAAAAAAAAAATAGCACGCTTCTTTTAATTTGTTTTTCCATTTCTCCCATTTCAGATAACCTGTGCTGATCTTGGCTCCCTGCCAGAAACTACAGCAACAACATGCAGGTTCAAGTGTTTCAGTCAAAGTGAATTCTCGGAGTGCTTGTGTTTTCCTAGAAAGGAAGAAAGAAAAAAAAAAAAACACTGGAAGACAAATAAACGCACTTGGGAAGTCATTGCAGTCACCTTTCTTTTCACGTAAATGGATCATCCACTTGGTCTCCCCAAAGGATAGGAACGCAGAAATCAAACTAGGAGTGCAGTGGAATAAAAACTAACTCGTGATGGGAGTGTTGTGTTTTCTAGTGAATGTTGCGAGTGTAAAGTCCAGAAAGACCGTTCCGCTCCGTTAGTTCACACCCGGCCAACCTTGGCATCTCCGATGGCGCCCCAGACGTCAAAGACAAACTCGTCGGGGAAGGCGAAATCTCCCAGAGTCTCGTCTAAAGCTTCCGCAAACTCGTCTGGGTTCTTTTTGTCTTTGCCCAGCTCCACCATGGTGGCCGCTGCAGAAACAGAGAAGACCTGTTTTATAAACCTGAACACCCCCCCACCCCCAGCAGCTGATAAGTGCGCAGACTTACCGAGTTCACTGTCTCGAATGCCCATGTAGCTCTCGAGCAGATCGTCCACCTTCTCAATGGCTTTTTCCTCAAATGCAGAAGGCTGGAGGAAGCAAAGCACAAATCCCAACATGCATCACCAAACAGGGCAACACTTGAAATAAACAATCAGCAAAACTAGTTTACTGAACGCTCACCAGCTCCTCCACTGTGGCAGGACCTTTAGAGCGCAGACGGAGGGTCCCTCTGCCCGTCCCCAGCTGAACCCCCGAGGCCGACCTGGAACCTCCTGACCTCTGACTGATCATGTCTACACAAAACAAACAAGTTTGGTGTAAACTTTCCACGCCCAATTAAAAGCCCGAAAGTAAAACTTCTAAAACTGTGAGAGACGACATGTCTGTCACTTTGTTTTTGTTGCCAGCAAATTCAGTGCGTTTGTGTCAACATGAAACTTTTATACGCAGTTATTTCGTTGCGAAGCTAAAAACACTTTTGTTACGATTCAGTTGGTTTTCTGTAGTTTTTCCTGGTTTGTTTGTTTATTGTTTTTTTTGTTTTTTTTCATTTCTGCTACTGTTTGCTACCAGTACTTTAGGCTTTTGGTTAGCCTGTTGATCATTTTAGCTAGTTATCTTTAGTTTTTTTTTTTTTTTGCTATGTTTAGCTAGTTTTTTGCTACTTTTAGTTTTTAGTCAACAGTTTCATACTTTTAGCCAGTGCTTTGAATCTTTTGTTGCTTTTAGGTAGTGGTTTGCTACTTTAGCTTTTAGTTAATATTTAGTACTTTTAACATTTAGCTAGCCTTTTGCTACTTTGTACTTTTAGCTAATTTTTCACTTTTAGTTTTTAGCCAGCATAATGACACTTTTTTGATTTTTAGCTTTGAGAGGGTTTTTTTCTACTTTTAGCTTTTATTTAGCATTTCCGCTCTTAGCTAGCTGTCTGCTACTTTCAGTTATCCTTTTGCTTTTTTTTTTTAGCTAATGTATTGCTTCTTTTTTAAAAAGCTTAAGTCTGGTTCTCTGGACAGGTTCAAAAAACAAAAAAAAAAAATGTAGAAACGTTTCGTCTTTCATTCAAAAGACTTCTTCCGTCTTCTTTTATTTCATTAGCCTTTTGCTACCTATAGTTTTTAGCTAGCATTAATTTTGTTTTAAAGCCAGTGTTCTGCTTCTTTTAGAGTTTAACAACTTAAAATGCGCTTCTAAATCAAATTTCAGCTCTCAACCATCACTGTGTATTTTAAAGTGCATTTTTCAGTTTATTTGTTTTGTTTTTAATATCAGATATCAGATAATCAATTTCCAAAAGGCAAGCAGTGAAAATGTTAAACAGGATGTAGCACAATTACCAAAGGCTTTCAGAGGCTCCACCAGCTTAATGGTAAACATTTTCCCTTTGGGAAGCTCCTTCAGCATTTTGGCAACTTCATAGTGTCGACAGCCGATGAGCCGATGACCATTGATCGACTCGATCATGTCGCCCACATTGATGACCTGGATTTGGTGGATGACGCTTCCCTCCCGAATTCTCTGAAAAGCAGGAAAAAAATCATATAATTTATCCCATATACTACAAAACACACGCAGTCCTGTGCGACGACTTTCCCTGCTCATATCAACGCTCGTTACTTTCCTCACCTTGATGAAAGCATAGCCAGCTCCATTATCAGTGATTGTCAACCCCAGAGCATCTTCTCCTTTGAACACTTCAATTTCTTTCTTCTGACCTTTAATGTGGGCAAAAATGAAGTCCTCCAGCCCGATCTGCCCTCCCAACAGTTTCTCCATGTCCACCTTGTGAGTGTTCAGTGTGCAAAACATAACCTGCAAAGGGAAATAGCTTTAAAGTGCAGAAAACGTTCACAGTGCCAGCTCCGACAGAAAAAGGCGGCTCACCTCAGACGGTGGTATCCCAAAAGCCTCGCTGATCTTGGCATAAAGTTCCCTCACATTACTGAAGCCCTCGATGCGGCCAGTGGGGCTCCCGTGAGCGAGCTGGGTGTGGAAGATGAGCCGAGGTCTCATGTTGTTTGGAGGCGGAGGAAGGCCCTCAGAGGCAGCAGCTTCCCCCAGCCCGACTACTCCTCCATCCAGGCCTTCCATACCTGGCAAATTGAGGCCGGCGCGAATGGGTTCCGCTTCCTCATTGTCAACCAAAGGGGACGCTTTCTTCCTTCTTCCCAGTCCCAGTGGCATAGTCGACGCCGCTCGAGGGAGTTATGCCACGATCCAGACCAACATAAACCTGTTCAGCTGAATCAGCTGCAGATCCGTCGAGTGTTTATGTCACAGTGACAGCTTGGTTGTCTAGACCAGCTCAAAAGCCGTCTCAGCCAGGCGCTGTATCGATTCAAGCGTCCACACATCAGAGCAGCTCACATAGCTGGATCTGTCCAGTCCAGCAACCTGAAGAGGAAAGTGCTCCTCTGGAAAGACAGAAACCAGAACTCTTGTCACTTTCATAACTTTAAAGCTAATTACTTTGCAACAAATGGAGATGCTTCATTAGAAAGCATCAACCCTGCTGCCAACTATAGGAATATATATTTCTCCTAATGTATTAAAATGACCAGTTTAACTACAAACTACATCTTGGACAATCAGTGCGTTGGTTGAAGGTAACATTAGCTGCTAGCTGTTTTTACTTGCATAACAGACGCCAACAAGCTTTAGAAAGAGGCTAAATACAAACAGCGTCCCTATCATCGTGTGTTTGCAGCCCTGAGATGTTCAGGTTAATTAGCACGATCATTCAACATTGATTTACAAAGGAGGAAACATGGCAGGCTGCTCATTCTTACCCCGGAGCAAGACTTCCAGCTCTTCCTGTGTGTTAGCTCAGCCTGCTAACGGCTCCGGTGTTAGCTGTAAGAAAACAATGTTCCACTACTGATACAGTTTAGTGTTTGTATTAACCTGCTTTTTCCTGGCACTTATTGTTATCCCGATTAGATTTGTAAGTATGTGTGTGTGTGTGTGTGTTTGTGTGTGTCGGTGTGTGTGTGTTTGTATGTGTCGGTATGTCGTAGCTGATTAGCTTAAAGCCAGCCAAGCAGGGTGGAACCATGATGCCTTCATGTACCCTCGGAAATTTCACAATTATGGCACTGAAATATGGCCGCCTGCAAAAGGAGTTGAAAATATGTTGAAACAGTGAACTTAAAAAATATATATGTTTAAACCTTTATTTTACCAGGAAGAAATCCATTGATATCATTAATCTCTTTTACAAGGATGTCCTGGGCAGAATTATAATCGCGATAATTTTCTTCCCTTTTCTTTAATTATGTTGTCTTTTTCTGTTGCTGTTTGTTTTAAATTAACGTGTTTACATAATAACCAAATGCATTATTTTCGTGTTTCAGAAAGAAAAGGTCTTGCTCTGTTTTTGTTTGTTTGCTTGCAAGTTGCTAACTTTTGCTTGCATATAAAATAAATAACTAAAAACCTTGAACCAACCAGTCAGGGGTGTTAGAAAACATTTTCAAAGTATTTTTTTTCCTCTTCTTCTTATAGATTAAAAAGTTTTTAGCAGGGCTTGCATTGCAGTTTGGCACAATGACATCGTGAAGGTACATTTAAATGCAAGCCATTGATTTAATAAATAATTATTAATTATTGTTCCTTTTTTCAGGGAAGGACTAATCTTTAGTTTAGTTCTGTTATAAGTACAAACCTGGTAGCTTGCTCTTATTTAGCCTTAAATATAAATAATGGTGGCTGTTTGTTCCCATGCCAATAACGTTAGATTTGTAACTTTAGACATGTTAGATTTTTGTTTCATTTTAATTAAATAAAGTTCTCAAGCATTTTTGTTAGACTGCACTGAAACACGCTGCATTGAGATTTCTTGATATTTTACTGCCCTCTAGCGGTCACTAAAAGAACTAGATACATTTTAGATTCAAATCAAATAATGTACTTCCGGGTTAATTCTGTGGCGCAAAAAGTACATTTAGATTTCTGCTAATTGTTCAGTAGTATACTGTCAGTATTTCTTGTTGTTCTGTAGGAATATTATAAAATATTCATCACAAAACCTCTTTTGACTTCTGTTCTAGAAGGCGGTTTTTAATTTTGGTTGTTTTCGTGATCTGAGCTCTCTACTGCCATCTGGCGGACAGGGTGAATTACAATCATTAGTGTCAACAAATAAATATTTTACTTCTGGTTAGACACCAAACTTAATCATGTACGACGTTTGTGTGTTATTACATAAAGTACAACCAACTGGAACTTATCTCATTTTTCAAGTATTTATTGTTGGGTTTTAATAATACTAGGAAATTTCGGGTAAGAGGTTCAATTTAGCATTACTTCCGGTTAGTTCTTTCAAAATAAGTGACTCAACCCGTACAATCCAAGGATGTGAAATTATAATGTAAATACCCGTTTTATATTACCATGAACTGATGCTGAGGACTTGTGATATTTAATATGATTTAAATTGTATTGATTAAGCTCTATTTTATGTTAGAATCATACTGCCCTTTTGTATTTCTTTACATTTGCCTGAAATGTTGCAGTTTTGCTGCCATCTTCTCGCAACATGCCTGTTTTTGTGGGTAAAAGTAAAAACATATTTCATATTTTAAATAAAATTATATTGTTTGTAATAAGTATTGATTTGGGCATATTTGCTAAACAAAAATTTCAACAGCATCTTTAACAAATTTAAACACAAACACATGCAGACATGACAAGAAGAGTTTTCAAAAAAAATATTTAATGTGCAAATGTAAATCATTCCAACTGAGCAAACCACAAAAACTACCCAACAATTCAACAGCCTTGTTGATAAAGTCAACAGTAAACAGTTTATTATAAACAAAAAGTACAACAAGAGCAATTAAGTTTCCTTTCAAAAAGGAAAAAAAAAACCTTAAGCAGCCTTTTCACATACAAAAAATGAGATGATGCATCTCCTCCTCTGAAGGGAAGCAACAAGTGATCACACAAAATTAAATTTCCCGATTGAATAACTTTTATAAATACCACCTTTAAACCAGGAGCACGGTCCAACAAATTGTATTTCAACAAAATGTAACACTAATTTTCAGTGTGTAAATCTTGGAATGAATGCTGTGGTGAGATTAAAAAAAAAAGGAAATAAAGTTGATTCACGTCTTTAATAAACAAAATAAAAGATTTTTGCTTCGTAGAGGTCTTGATATTTAGTTGACCACCAAATTTGTTTTAAACAAACAAAAAAACTAACCTCTGGCTTTTGGTTTAACTTGGCTGTAAAGAGAGCAATCCAAGTACATAACGTTTACATAAAACATTTTAAGAGTATATGTATATAAATAAAATCATTAATTACACAAGACTTGTGATACTTTGGAAGCACGCACATTTTAATGTCATGGGGACAACTGTATGGCACAAAAAAGTTTCCAACAAGAACTAAAACTACTAAAACTTTTTATTTGTATAAAAATAAACAGCTTTAACGTGCCTTTTTTAAATATCTCATTGATCTGAGTTTCCCGTTATAAAATTTTAAACCTATTCTCCATGTAAAACCATATCCAACGCTCAATCCGCTCATGTTTGGGTTCTGCTGCGTGCATGTGCAGCTCCAACACATTATTCATAATTGGGTACCCATACACCTGTTAGCATTTTAGCTATAGAAGGACTTCAGGTGTATTTTCCCAGCTCTAACAATTAAATTTATGTAGTTAACTAAAGAACAAAAGGCTGGTTAACGCTGATATTTGTAAGCAGGTTAGTTTGGGTGCAGATACCTACAATGTTTACAATCAGGATCCACACAAAAGTTGCTTGTATCCGTTTACGCTCAAGCATACGTCAGTGCACCTGAGGTTTAGGTAGCCAGCTGCACGTCACCTCAAAGCACAAACGCCTGCTGTGAAACCACATCATCCCAAAAATCAAACCTCCACGTTGTGCAGTTTGATTAACTTTTTTAAAAACAACCTTAAAAACACAACTTTAAGTTTGTGTAATTTCACTCTCTCCCTCACAGAGCTGCTTTAGTTTAGAGACTCAGCTCAGCTGGAGTAACGCCTGCTCCGTCATCGAGGCCGAGCCCTCGCGGCGACACTGGAAACGTCCACTTCTCAGGCGCTGCGTTCGACTTTCCGTTACATGGGAAGTATCTCCTCGAGCGCATTCCGTGTGTTCTGGCCCAGGTTGTCGGGGAAATTAACGCTGAAGTCCAAAATCATGTCGCCTCGTTTCTCGGGGCATTTTGACAACGGAAGCCCTTCTCCGGTGATGCGCTTCTTCATCCCGGGTTTGACCACCTCTCTGGAGGTAACGGTGATGGTCCTGCCGTCTAATGTGGGGGCTTTGACTGTGCATCCACATAACGCCTGGAGAAAAACAACAGTAAATGGATAAAATCATTTTGTTTCCTATAAAGGAGGACAGTCTGAGCGCTCACTCACCTCTCTGAGTGTTATTTTTGCAGGATAAACTATATCCGATCCCTCTCTTCTGAACATGTGGTGGGGTCGGTCTTTGACCACGAACACCACATCGGCGGGAATGTTAGTGGGGGTTTCGTCGCCCTCCTTGGGAAAAGTGATCTTCGTTCCCTCCTTCCAGCCACGTTTGATGTTCACAGTTAAAATCTTGTCTTCTTTGCGCACGGTGCAGCCATCAGGATTCAGTCTCTTGCGGGAAATCTTCATCTTTTTTGTGCAGCCGGCGAAAACCTCCTCGAGGCTCACGTTCAGCTCGTGCACCACCGGAGGGTCCTGCCTTTTCTCGTGTGCCCTGTGAGGGCCACCAGGATGGGGTTTAAAGGCTCTGTGAAACCCACCCATCCCACCCATGCCGAATGCACCGAAGGGATCGTTGGGATCAAAATCATCCCCAGCTGTAGGGAAGAAGTGATCAAAAGGGCTGCGGCCTCCGAAGAACTCTGCAAAAATGGCATGAGGGTCTCCGCTGAAGGTGTAGTTGAACGTGGGCCCACCGGGGTGTCCTCCACCCTCTGCAGAACCTTTTAATCCTGTAGAAAACAACATAAACATCTAAGATTTGAAGGGAAACATGAACAGTAACAAAAATGTGAAGATGGGCTGCACATCAATAATTTTACTGTTTATTTATCAAAAGAATTCTTCAGAATTAGTTTTTTTAAGCAAAATATGAGCTATAGTTTGGTTCAAAGGTCATGATCCGACCGCTCATTTCTTTATACTCTCCTTCCAATACTCCAGACTCCATGTCTACGAATTCCTCCTGGTTTTCTGAAGATCTGTTAAAGGCATTTTCTACAAACACCGACTGCTTTTCTACAAGACAGTGGTCCATTCTTGTTGTTCTCTTCTTAATGCTTTTTATAACTCACTTTACTCTGTGATACGAATCATTAAAGCTAAAAGCTACGAGCCACAAAACATGCAGCACTTCCTTCAAATAAATAAGGAAAATAAGAAATGTTAAGCGACAGAGGAAAAATGTAGCAAGTTTAAAAACCTACAGCATCTGAAAGGAATGTCCTTAAGAAAACATGGGTAGAAATAAAGTACTGATGTACCCAAGTACTCAGTATGTACTGGGCTGTATGAAGAGATTTGTTGATTTCTGTGTGAAACTAAAAAATAAGAGCAAATATGTTCTTTTCTACATCAAGCACAGTGCACGTTCTCCCAAAATTGTCCATCCCAACTCTTTGTATTTTGTTTGGAAGCAAAAACAAAATACATTTAAAGATTTTTTTGAACAATAAAACCACAACAGGACAAGACTAGATCGTTACAACTGTTGTGCAAGAATGTTTATGGTTCAAATCCATCACATGAGGGAGTCTCTTGAAAAACACCGAACATTAGAAAATCTGTTTTATTTTATTCTGAAAGAGCAGGGGAGCTCGTGCTCCTAGTTTCCAGCAGGTTCTGCAGCTCTGAGCACCAGAACCATCACACGTTTTAAACAGATTCTGGCAGAATGGGGATCAGACATTTGTTGTACAAACAAACACTTGAACAGGAACACGGAAGTTGTGTGCAGTTCAGGTACCTTCTTCTCCGAATCGGTCGTAAATGTCTCTTTTCTTGGCATCACTGAGGACGTCGTAAGCCTCGGCGACCTCCTTGAATTTGTCTTCGGCTTTGGGCGACTTGTTTTTGTCCGGGTGAAAGCGAAGAGCCTGCTTCCTGTACGCCTTTTTTATCTCCTCTTCGGACGCACCTTTGGGTATCCCGAGCACATTATAATAATCTTTACCCATCACAAACAGCGGTCAGCTCCTCTCCCGCTCTTCATACAACCATTTTCCCAGCAGTGTGTCGCCGCTCCGCCGTCAACCTCCAATTTCTGTCCGAATTGTTCAGACAGACCGTAAATAAACTTTTAAACGAATAAAGAGAGGAGTTCTTTTATTCTAAATTGATTTATTTTAAATAAATCAAGAAAAGAACAGTCTGTCCTTAGTTTTGCGCCTGAGAAAGTAGCAGCCGCATGAAAAAGACGCCGGGCATAGAAACTTCTAGAAGAAGCTCGAGCAGCTGACAAATGTAGGTCGTCACCACGGAAACGAAACGATTCCCTCCCAACAACTTCCGGTTTCGTTTGACATGCGGAAGTGATCGTCTATGGCGGGAATATTTACTCTCCTGGACAAAACTAGTATCGTGTGTTATCCTGAAATTTATTTTTTGGACCAATAAATCCTTCTTTATACATATGACAGCTGTACGTATGCTGACAAAAAAGTTGTTTTAAATCTATTCCCATCAATTTCCACTGCGCTGTATGCTGAACAAGACAGGAAATGACGTAAGAGCTCAACAAACGTTTGCAGCGAATATTAAATAACGATAAAACTGTTTACTGTATTCTGGTTTGTTTATTTATTTATTTTAGATTTTTTTCTTCAAGTGGAAATTCAGTATTGTATACAAATCTTAAGCCAGCTTTAATTTCTTTGGTTTACTTCCAATGAACCAGAGGTGGCATCGTTACCAACTGCGCCACCGTGCTGCCATTTTTTTTTAGGTAGGCCTTCTTTTAAAAGTAATTTTGATTTAAATTTTTTAAGGGTTATTCTGTTCCAAACTATTCTATTTTGTCAGCCTTTTTTGAACATTGACTTTTTTCCAAGTGTAATCAATGTACCAGACTATTTTCAGGGAAATACTTTTATTTTTATTTAGCTTATTTTGACCGTTGAACCATTTTGCCCTATAATTACAGCTAATTTAAGAGATAAATCAGGGTAATGCTTATGCCAAATAAAACGTTTGCACCAACAAGATAACATACTGATAATTTATTTCAAGGGTTATCTGCTGTAAATTTTTATTCCTTTCCAAATTCCTTCTACCTGCCACTTTTCTGTTCCACCCTATTAAATAAAAATAGGCCAAATCTTTGGATACTTAAGCTTTCTCATCTTTTGAAAATGGTTTTGATCAACAATTGTCAATCTCTATTGCTGTTTTTCATTTAGATTACTTGTTAAAAAAAATCTGAATATGATTATATGTAAGAACTGGACTCTAAGCTATTGGGGGAAAAAGCAATTATTTGTAATGGAATTAATATCTGCCTTAAATTAATCATGTTAAGCTATATTTGTAATTGAATTAGAAAAATATGAATGAATTTTAATAAATCGAGGCAAATTGTGGCACCCCATCTTCAAATGGAACCAGATGCAACTGATCAGAGGTCAGTGTGTCAGAATGAACCGCCTTCCATCACATTTTCAATGATATTTAACCTCTTTTATGTTTGCTGGTCATGAGTATGTCAGAAAGATCAAGTAACAGGAATGTTTTTCATCCAAAACTCAAATCTGATCTTGGAGGCTTCCTACAGCTGTTTACTGCCAGCTTGTACAGCTCGAACCTGTTATAAATAGCCCATTGAATATAGATATGCAGTTGGCCATGTGAGATGATGCGCTGACCCTGTGTGATGAAAGGTATCTCTGGTCTTCTCCCAGTCAGCATTTTCTTCCCTCCTCTCCTCCCCCCACAAACCTTTATTGAAGTGTTTCAGAGCACGAATGTCTTGAACTGAGCAGACCCTGAGATAAATATGAATATTTTTGTTCTGTAATTTAAGAAGAGAAAATAATACCAGCCTTACAGGTGGTACAGGGAGGAGGAGATGTGTTTGCATGTGGAGATCTTTTCCCCAGTGGATCAGGGTTTTACTGGGGCCTGTGACTGTGTCGCCAAGTGAGGAGTAAAGCAGACAGGAGACGAGTCTTCAAGCCTAACAGGAGCATATTGGCATTTGTCACTGAGCAGAGCTGCATGAGCCTTCATGAGGTTACCAAGCTGCTGCTGCTGAGCGAATCGGGGAACTTATATATAGCTTTGCAAGTGGCGCGCTATGGATTATGTCTTGGGGCTCTCCAGTTTCGTCTTCAGTGCGTTTTGTTGCACGAAGGGGGGGAATGGGGTTGAGGATCTCCAGCAGGCTTTCAGGTGATGAGCAGGCCTGCTGCATGGTCCCTGATCAGCTCTACTTGGATTTAAACTCACTTTCCTTCCAACTTCACTTCTTTCTCACTGGCATACCCTCCATTTCTGGAAGAGGGGTTTCTTGTTGATCACTTTTTTTTCCCTCAAATTTCGCTTGAGGCCAAAGATAAACTGCAAGTGAGGCTGCCACTCCAACCTACTGGACGATCACCAAGCTGTTGAGATTTGGGGTCCAGCCGTGCCATGGATATACTTGCCTTAGAGGCGAAGAAATCAAATGGAGCAGAACTTGAGAAGAAGCCTGCGCCCAGGCCAAAAGCAAAACCACAGAAAAAGGCTAAAAGGATCGTCTATTTTGAGGTGGAGATTGTGGACTTGAAGACTAAGGAGAAACTGCTGCTGCTGGACAAGGTGTGTGTCAGTGTGATGAACCTTCTTCTGCTCGACTTATCCATAATTCAAAAGCCTGTGCTTGGATTTTTATTGAAGATACAATGCAAGTTTCACAGATTGAGCGTGTTTGAGTAATAGCTACAACATCAGAGGACACGTTTGCTTTAGCTCAACTGAAAATGAAAATATCAGTCATTTTCAAAAGAAACATCCAATAATTCACTTCTGATTGAGTCGCCATGTGTCTTTTGAGCGAGGTTTGCAGTTAGGAGGTGAGAAATCCCTTTTCATCTGACAGGATTTATCTGATGGAGCTTCAGCACATGCCTGCGCTGCACATCATGGGCACAGATGAACAGGATTAGCAGCTTGTATAAAAGTGCAAAGTTGTAAATGTAACAAATAAAAACACGTCACAGCTGAAACGAGCAAAAATTAAATGCGACCTTGGAAAAACCAGAATAAAAACTGTGTCAATAGGTAGGAATTTTGTTGAATTTTCATTTTATTAGTTGTAAATGTCCATATGTCAGAGCCTAAAGCAGGGCTGCTGACCATCATCTGTTCACGTTGTTCATTGTGGTTGCAGGTGGAGCCAACATCTACAGTTTTGGATATTAAAGCTTTGTTTCACAAATCATGTAAGTGCAGACAAATTTTGTTGAGACACGAGGCATCTTTGGCAACATCAGAATTATTATTTTTTAATAATAAGATAAAACAAATCCGCTTAAAACAATCAATCTACACGATAGTCTCTTTAGAACAGCAAGAGTTAAGTTTTACTGTTTATTTATTTATTAACAGATCCAAAGTGGTATCCTGCTAGACAGTCTCTGCGTTTGGATCCAAGTACATCTGCGCACACACACACACACACACATAGATATATATGCACACACTTTTTAACTTTATCCAGATCCTTGGTTTTCTAAAGGATATGATGTTGTGTTTGTCAGAGGCCAAGTGTCTCAGGGATGAAGAAGTTCTCCAAACACTTCCTGTTGGAACCACTGCCAGCTTCTACTTCAGTGACCTCGGACCCCAGCTCACGTGGGGGACAGTGAGTCCATGCCGACGCCTCTCATTAACGAGCATGCGGTTAATTTACACGTTCTAACATCAAATCATAGAGAAATGGTTCTGACATGATTGAGCTACAGTTTTACAGATTATGTTATCTTAAATCAGCTGTCCATCAATTTAAGAGACCCACTTTGCAAAACTAACGGCACCATACACACCATTTTCTACAACATGCCAACACACTTCTGCTGCTCTTGTGCTTTAAATACAAAGAGAAACTCTCGCTTGCTCAAAAGCTTCTGAATATAAATATCATCCCTCAGTGACAGATAGAGGTGATTTGCTGTTGGCCACTTTTCTCCACCTTCTGTGCAGCCTGTCCTCTCTGCCAGGACATATAATCTCATGGCCTCATTTCTCCCAAAGGTGTTTATCCTCCTGACCTCTCACTGGGCCTCTTTATTCCCCCTCAGCCACACGGTCTCTCCCCACCCCCATGTCCTTTCTAACCCTGACACAACCCCAACACCCTCATTGGCTTTGAGCTAATGGCAGAACCAGTAGGCGACAAGTCGGGCTCCCTGAGCTAAGGTCCATTTGGAGGTGCTGATTCAGGAGCCAGCTGAACTAGTTCCCTTAATCAGATCATTTGTAACTACAGAGGAAAAAAAAAAATCTATTTTCAGTCATACAGCTGAATTACTGAATCGCTTTGCTGAAATGTGTTGAAGCTGAAACTTAATCGCAAAAGTTATAATAAGCAGAACAAAGGAAAAATTCTCAAAGCAGCATCTAAAGGCTAAAATTGGCTCAATTGTAGCTGTGCACCATTTGCAGCCTAGGTAACAAAGTGGGTAGTCAGGTGGGTGTGGCTTGCACTTCGAACACCCTGATCAGATCCAGCAGATCTGAACCACGTGACTGATGTAAACAAAACAAGGTTGTTTTACTTCCAAGTTCCAAATGTAATACATAAATACATAATGCATAAATCAAATATGAAGAAGACGAAGGAGATGGTTGTGGACTTCAGATGGAGCAAACAACACCCCCCTCCCCCATAGGAGGATCTGTGGTGGAAGTGGTCTCCAGCTACTTGGGTGTGCACCTGAACGACAACCTCAGCTGGGCAACAACACCACCAGCCTGATCAAGAAAGCTCATCAGAGACTCTACTTCCTCAGACGGCTGAGACGAGCTGTTCTGGGAAGCTCAGTCCTCACCTCCTTCTACATGTGTGCAGTGGAGAGAATCCTGTGCTCCAGCATCAACATGTGGCATGGAGGCTGCACAGCTGCAGAAAGAAAAGCTTTGCAGAGAGTGGTGAAGGCTGCACAGAATATGTTGGCATCAGCCTCCCCACCATCACAGACATCTACACTTCTAGATGCAGGAAGAGGACCACCTGCATCATGAAGGACCCCACCCGCCCAGCACAAACACTTTTTGCCCTGCCCGCCTTGGGCAAAAGGTTGAGGAGCATTAAGTGCAGAACCACTAGACTGAGGAACAGCTTCTACCCTGAAGCTGTTAGACTCATGAATCCATAATCAGGATTGTCACTGTGAAAAAATAAAAATCACTGTAATGCCACTCGATTGTTGATATGTGCTGCTGACTATCCATGCTGCTGATCTCATGCTGCTGATTTATTTCATGTTGCTGTGTTCATTCGTACTCATCTGCATCACACAGACTCATGTTTGTGCTGCTGTTGTTTGGTGTATTGTTTTTGCACTATTACGTGTTTAGCATATTCTTAGCTAATAGCTTAGATCTTATTACTGTTTTTTCTTTCACAGTTTATAATTTTGTTGGATGTAACTGAGGCCCTGTGTACACAATTTCGTTCCACCACATGTACCACATGTGATGTGAACAACAATAAATAAACCTCGACCTTGACCTCAAGTCAGCGAATTAACTTACTATGATCAGAGGCTCAGTGTTCAACAAGTCATTTTTGTCTCTGTTGCACATTTAGATCATCAGCTGTTGTTGTTTTTCTTTTGGCTGCTCCTCTGTGAAGGCTGTCACAGCGAGCAAACTGGAGGTTTAACATTTGTTCAATGCTGGCTGCTGTTCCTGACACAGCCTGGAGCCTCAGGATTACAAAACCGTGGCACAAACCACTGAACTACTGGATCCCTCTTTGTTCTTGTATGTTAAACGACAAAACAAACTTAGATGGCGTTCAAAGGTTGGCTGATTAACCGTGACACCTCCTCCTGCCGTCAAACACTTGGCTCTATTTAAGAGGAGGCTCCTCACTTCATCCAGTTTGCTCAAAAGGAATGAACCCAGGCAAGTCCACGGACTTCCTAAAGTGGCTTCAGTCAGACAGGTTACTGGTTCTAATGCTGCTCCTGACTTCTCTGTTGCTGATGCTTCAGTTGTGTTTGAACATTTTGAACCTCTTTCTCTCATTACTCTTACTGATGTTGCTCAACACATGAAGCTTGCTAACTGCCCGCTGGACTTTCTTCCTTCTAAGTTCTTGAAAGAGGTTTATAATACTGTGGGTTTTTGTGTCTTTACTTTTTTAAACTCTTGCCTTATGTCTGAACTGTCCCTGCGGCTTTAAAAAAATGCTGTGGTTAGGAAAAAAAAAATTATATCAATTTTTAGCAAATTTGAGATATTTCTCATTTGCCTTTTTTAACTAAAGTCTTGGAAAAAAAGTTGTTTTTATGCAGTTACAACTTGTCTTTATCTAAGACAGATGAACATGGCATTTATGAAAAAATTCAGTCTGGATTTAGACCTCGTCATAGCACTGAATCAGCCCTGTTAGAAGTCCATAATGATATTGCCATATCCGTGGATGCAAAGTGTCCTGTTGCTTTAATGTTGCTGGACCTTACAGCTGCTTTTGACACGGTGGACATGTTGTCTTCTGTCTCATCTTCACTATGATGATATATCTCGTTCATCTCTCAAGGGGTTCACCACTGACTTGACCAACATAACTTTCTTTGTCATGTTGGGTAGTATGTCTTCCTCTACTGCTCCACTTTCTTTTGGTGTGCCACAGAGCTCTATTCTCAGTCCTCTCCTTTTTTCTATGTATATGCTGTGACGGCCAGACACCACTTTTCTTTTCACTGCTATGCAGATGATTTACAAATTTCTTTGCCTGTGAAGCATAAAAGTACTAACCTTCACACTTCTTTTATTGACAGTACTGTACTACTGTGGCTTCACCAAAATGTTCTGTTTTTAAATGAAGGAATGACAGCATGTATCTTCTTTGGTGATGATGCTCCATATAACTTTGGTTCTCCAAGTTTAGACCGACAGTTAAAAACTTGGGGATGACCTTTGACAAGGACTTAAAAGTTTGACAAACATAAAGCCTCTGTTGTCACGGTCAGCTTTTATCAGTTACATCCTTTAATCAAGGGCAAGCCTTTTTTTTAATCGTCCAGACCTGGAAAATATAATTCATATTTTTATCAGCTCAAGCCTTGACTACTGGAATTCTCTGTATGTAGAACTCTCCCATTCCTCCATCAGACATCTTCAACTGGTCTAAAATGCTGTGGCTTGTCTTTTAACCAACACTCCTAGATGTGAGCACATCACCCTTGTTTTCTTTTCTTTTCATTGGTTTCCAGTCCATTTTAGAATCAATATTTAAATTTTATTATTCACTTTTAAAGTTCTTGATGGTCTTGCCCCACTGTCTTTAGCTGATCTAATAGCTTTTCGTGAGTGTAAGAGAACAATAAGACCAACTAATACATTTTAATTCTTTGTCCCAAAGTACAAATACAAACGTTGGGGCAAGCGGGCCTTTTTGGTCTCTGTACCCAGATTGTGGAACAAACTACCTCAGGATTTGCACTCTATTACTGATCTGTCTCTTTTTAAATCTTATTTTAAAACCTTTTTATTCAGGCAGGCTTTTAATACCTAGTGGTTCTCTAGCATTTTTGTATTGTTTTCAATTGTATGTTTTTGGCTTTTGTGTGTTGAAGCACTCTGTGCATCTTTTGGCTATTGGAAAATGCTCTATAAATAAATATTGATAGATTGATTAGTTAACTGATGGAGTTCTCTATGGGATGTGGTGTGTTTTGCACAAGAGGAGCTAAAATACCAGCAAGATGTTTTGCAGTATTATATGTCACAGAGTTTGTGCTGCTGACGATGGGTCAGAGTGGTGTTCCTATTTTGTAGATTTTGTGAAGTCCATATTAGCATGGAATGGCTTCTCCTGGATATAATCTGTTTTAAAAAAAAAAAAAACTAAAACTTTTTTTTGATTGATCATGACCTGGATGACTGAAAATCTTCACCAGCAAAGCAAAAGCTAAAATCTAAAAATAGCGTCATGGGAGGTGAATGCTAAAATGAGCAAAACCGTAGCTAAAAGGTATGAGGTAATATAAGTTTAGTATTAGTTACAAATACTAGGTCAGAACGTGTTATTCCTGATGGAGTCCAACATTTTGATATATAAATATTTTAAAAGCACAAAGTCGGAGGAAGTCGTTTTAATTGCAAAATCACGTTTGGAAGAAACTATAAACAGGAAATCAACGATGTGACTGCCGAGTCAGCGTTCACACAAAATGTCTCACAAACCAATTTAATTTGTGGACACAGCTGAACTGTTTTCCTCTGAATGTGAGTGCCCAGTAGATATAGAGCGACTGTTTTGGCAAGGTGACAAAGTAAAAGGAGCTGCTGGTGAGGCCTGGTGTCACGTCGCTGCCTCTTCTTCCTGCAGAGGCTTTACAGACTCAGACTGTCATCCTGTTTTAATATTTTCGTTGCTGAACTGAATTTTGTTCAACAAACTGTACAGTAATTTCAAATTACTGCATTTTCTGCTGTCTACCCACACAATTTAACCCCACCCCCACCCCCACCCCAATCAGCCTACAAATGAAGAAAACTCTCTCATTGCAGGTGTTTCTAGCTGAATGTGTTGGTCCGCTGATTCTTTACCTAATGTTCTACTTCCGACTTCCTTTCATCTATTCTCCAAAATATGACTTCACCAGCAGCAAGCACTGGGTCGTACAGTGAGTGTCAGCTTGCATATTTCTCTCTGAGTTCTTTATAGACACACACACACACACACACAGAAACATGACAAACAGCCATGCCTCATTCTGCTATGTTGACACTCAGTCTTGGACAAATGTAATGAAATGCATACGGATAATGAATTATTCACAACTAAATATGCAAGTGTGTATTTTTGTGTGACTTCTGCAGCCTGGCCTGCATGTGTCACTCCTTCCACTACATCAAGAGGATCTTGGAGACCTTGTTTGTCCACCGTATCTCCCACGGGACCATGCCTCTCAGAAACATATTTAAGGTGCTGCTCGCTTTTCTGTTTTTGCAACCTCCGACCACAAATCAGCTCGTGTTTAGAGCCGCATCCATACAGTTTGACTTATTATATCTTCGATTTCTGTTTCAGAACTGTGGGTATTACTGGTGCGCTGCAGCCTGGATGGCATACTACATCAACCACCCTCTGTACACAACACCCTGTAAGTGCTGACTGCTGCAATACTTGCTTTTGCCCATTGCTCAGCGTTGATATCTTAAGTGATTTCTCTTTAAAACATCAACAGTGTATGGGCAGCAGCAGGTGAACACAGGTCTTTATATCTTCTTGGTAAGTTTTAGACTTTTTGTGGACAGTAAACACACTCTTGTTTAGTTAATGTTCAGCTTCGATGCTTTGTTTTTGTTCCTGAAGGTCTGTCAAGTAGGGAATTTTTCAATCCACGTTGCACTGAAAAACCTTAAACCACCAGGTGAGTGTTTTGTTTCAATGGACAATTAAAATGAACTTTTGTCTACTTTGTTGTTAACTGTACAGAGCAGCATTCTGTTTGAATTGAGGTTGCTCATACTCGCAGGTTCAAAAGTCAAGAAGATTCCTTATCCAACAAGAAATCCGTTCACGTGGATTTTTTGGTTGGTCTCTTGTCCAAATTATACGTATGAGGTAAGGACTTTCCTTGTGTTCATCATTTAAATTTTGGTCTAATATGATGAAAAAAGTACCTAAAAATGACCATGTTTAAAATTAACATGACTGTATCAAACAGCTAAAATCAGCAAAACTTCAGTTAAAAGCTTGAATAAACAAAATCAAAGCTGAAAATTAAAATTAGCAAAGTTTCAGCTAAAAGCTAAAAATAACAAAGTTTTAATTAAAGATGTAAAAAGCAAACAGCTTAAAAATAATAATTAAAAAAACAGTTTAAATTAGCTAAATTGTAGCTAATTGTTTAAAATAGCTAAACAGTAGCTAAAAAGAAAAAACGGAACAGTTTAAATTAGCTAAATCATATCTAATTACTAAAAATAGCAAAACAGTAGCTAAACTTAAAATCTAAAAAAAATCAACTACTATAGGCAAAAATGAGAAAAAATGTAGCTAAAACATGAGCTAAAGTCTAAAATATGCTAAATCAAAACTAAAAGCTAACATTTGATAAACGGGATCTAAAACAAGCAAATTTGTAGCTAAAATTATTTTTAAAATGTAGCTGTATTGTAAAATTAGCAAACAGTAGCTAATAGCTAAAATATCAATAACTAAAAATTTTAAACAAGCTAAAAATTAAATGTAGTAAAACTTGTTTACAAACAAAACTGCTTTTTTAATGATGTAGTCAAAAGTAATGTTAAACTCTTGTAAAGGACATTTGTTCATTAAACATGTTTTTAGTTTAGCTCTGAGTGACGTTTCATACTCCCACCACTGATATGTATTATAATTTTATATTGTGAGTTGTATTATATATCCAGATATATGATAGTATTGTATAAAGAGGTGAGCAATAGTATTATATATCCAGATGTGTTCTTATGAATAGGATGGCCCCACTCTGACATACTGAAGCCAGTTGTGCATCAATGGATCAGAGGTCCATTACATGGAGCTGATTCATGCTTTAATAACAAGATGCGCTGTTGCTGCCACCCAGTGGCACCGATCACTGCCAGTCCCAGCAGTCTTACTGGGTTTTGTGTGTCAACCTCTCTGTTCACAGCTGGGCTCCTGGATCGGCTTCACAGTCATGACCCAGTGTGTGCCTGTGGCTTTCTTCACCCTCGTGGCCTTTATCCAGATGACCGTGTGGGCCAAAGGCAAACACCGCAGCTACTTAAAGGAGTTCAGAGATTACCCGACACTCCGCTCGTCCATACTGCCCTTCATCCTGTAGGGCCTGGAAGACAAAAAAAACAAAAAAAAACCCAGCTGTTCCTACATTTTGGTCATATGGATCCAGGGATTACTTTGATTTGTCACAAGAAGTGGAAGATTTTCCCCACCGCTGAGTGTTGGACTGGTGAACTGTCAGAGGCAAATGGTGAAATGCAGCAGTCTTACTTTAATATTGTATGTGATCTAGAGTTGAAAGTATAAGAAACGAGACCTTAATTTTGCTACTTAACTGAGAAGGTGCCAAAGTTAAATTATAAAATCATCGAAGCTGCCCACAAAGATCAGCTGTTGCCCACAAAGCTGGGGGGTTCACTTGTTAAAGTGGTGTGCAGCCTGGAGCTGACAACTCGTGCACTGAGCTGATCAAGTTACCTTCGTGCTACATTGATGCAAATGAACGTGCTTTTCAGAGAACTAACCAAGAAACTTAACAAACGCAATCATTTGTAAAGAAAACATTTAGTTGAAGAGCTGAAGTGAAACATTTGTTTACAAGTGTATCTCACTCGTGGTGCAATTAAAACTATAAAACTGTTGAATTAAAGTCAGTAAATGATGACAAACAGAGACGTGCGTGCTTTGTTTTAATCTCTAGAGTAAGTGTTTTTATTACAGTTGAAAAGAGAAGGGAATACATTGAAGATGCAAAGTACATAATATGGAATGTTAACACAATTCTTCCGCCTGGCTTTGATCAGAACAAGATCAAGCCAAATGTAAACAACGTAAAATATTGCATTTCATAAAAAAAGGTATCTGTAAACAGAAGCTTAGCAGCAGTATTGAATTAAGAACCAGAAATCCAGTAGGAACAACATTTATTATTTTATTTTACTCGATGCGTAAAAAAAAAAGGACATTTTATTGGGCTGCATATTGGAAACTGTTCCTCAAAATGAAACTGCATCGTTGGACCACGATCATTTAACTTAATTAAGACAGCACAAGAACAAAGGAAAACGCATCAAGGCTTAAATCTCAGTGATGCAGAGACAATGAAGACAATTCAAAGCAGCAGCTACTTGTGGAATGATGAGTCGGGAACAAAAACTGTTTAACTTCTGACACAAACACACAGTCTTCAACACTTTAAATGACATTTAAATCAACCTGTATACCAAAATGGAAGCAGCTGATGTGCTCTTGTTTTAACTTGTAGCTTCTGAACTAACAGAACGTTAGTGGTAGGACATCCCAACCTGTGACAACGACGCACTCCAGGACTACTCAGTCGTAGCTGTGCTGGTCCACTTGGTGCACGAGTGGCTGCTCAGGTTAAACGTACTTTACCCGCAGCGGTGAATTCTCTCCACCACGGTGCCACAGGGGTGAAATGGAAACCATTTGAAAACCAGAGACCACAATGAGAGGTAGGATGACAGTCTTTCAGTTTCTGGTCGTTCTCACAGTGAAGGTGGATTCCACCGCATCTTGTCCCTCCCTCCACACACCCTCTACATATGATGCATATGAAGGTAGGCGGTGAAATCCAAATGGGAGAGGGATTGCATGCATGTTCGAGTCAATATGTCTGCTGTGCTGATCAGCCCTTCAGATGTCTTTGCATTCCAGGAAGTGGGTCCTCTGCAGCACTTTGACGTGACGCTCGTAGATTTTGAGGGCGGGGCCGAGTCGGATAGACAGGCCGGTCAACACGTCGCTGCGCTGCATCAGGAGGAGGGACTTCCCATCGATTTCCTGTTGAAAACAGACTCTGTTTAAATGATAAATGAATCAGAATGACGTTTTTGGAGCAGTTAAAGCTCCATGAAAGTAAAACTGACCTGTGTTCGAAACGCCACAGCTTGCTCTGGGAATCCTGCAGCAGAAAAGTAACTGGCCACGTCCGCCACGCTCCACTGCAACAGGTTCTGGTGAATATTCTCCTTCTTCACTGAACTGGAGAGCAATCAGAAACAAGAGTCAGAACCAGTCCAAACCAACTTCACGTCAGTAGGTAATGCTTTAATTTCACGACTATGTAATTACTGCTATTAACTAAAGTAGAGATGCAGAATAAACACAAACTGCTTATATGGACAACCTGCCAAAACCCGGAGCTGCAGGCGGAAGGAAAAACAGCTCATCTGACCTGCCACCAGCTAAAATCAACGAGGCCCAAATAAACTGGTTCTGCTAATCACTACGTTTGAGTTTCCTTGTTAAATGCTACTGAACCAGAAATAGTGGAAGTGCATCAGGATGAAAGTTAATAACAGGTGTATTAAACCACTGTGGAGAAGACGAGGCAGAGAAACTGGGTGATGTATTTGGAGCTCAAGTTTATCAACAGGATGCTCACATTTCATCTCCTTTATCACCGTTTAGAAGAGTGCGCTCATCACTTGCTGGGTAAGACACATCGATCTTCTTAAATGTGCCTGTGAGGAAAAGAAAAGCTGATAAATATGTAACACCATCTTCTTTTTTTTTTGACAATGCACCTCATGATAAAAGGATTTAGATGCATATGTCCTGCAAAATATACTAATATTTAGTTGTGGCATCAAATATCGTCAAGTCTTTACTTCTGTTTCAAACTCATCAAACTTTATTAGTTGGTACGCATGACAGAGCTGAGTAATCCCTGCAAAGTACTGAACTCTGACTCTCTGTGTAAGTGGACAAAAAATTTGTCTAAACGGTTTTAAGACCCTAGATTGTTATCTCTGTAAGCAAATATCAGCTGCCATCAAACGTGCAACGCTGAAATAACTTGGCGGTCAGAACAGGCGCCACCAGGACGGAAGGTAGCAGGAAGAGCTCGTGAAGCACTCCGAAGATCTCAAGCAAGCCTGAAGGCGAGCACTGGTACAAAAGGCTAAATAAAAACCACAAAAGGCTCTTCATCATAGACTATCAGGAGTCAGTTGCTTAAATGTGTCCTTTTCCTTTACAGAAGCCCTTTTCTTAACGAGAGAGCAGAGCAGTGAGCCGGTTTTTCCACGTAAAACAGATGCAGGCTGCGCCGTAGCAACAAACGATGAGAGAAAACTCACAGTTGTCAGGTGGCACAGATGGCGTTTGCTGTCTTCCATCAGAGAAATTCTTGACTTCATCCTGCTGAGCGAACACAAACGAACAAATTGAATTCCGGTTTAAACATGTCAGGTAGAAAGCGTAGTTATTTGTCACACGGGCCAATTACCAGTCTCGCTGCGGAGTCCGGTACCAACTGGTCGGACGAGAGGCTGCTGTCCTCCACCTTGAGCTCATCTTCTTTCTTCACGTTGTTTAAAGCGCACGGGCTCGGAGCTCGAGAGTGGATTACTGGCTTCGTGTCTACGGCTGACACAGAGTGAACCAATTAGAAAAGCAATCACTCAATGATACAATCTATGGTGGAGACAAACTATATTACAGTCCAAACATCATCCGACTTGAACTAATTTACCCGAGTGAGTATTGTGGTCTTAAAATTTTTTTTTAAATAATGCTGCAACAAGAACACCTTCTATTAGGCTTAAATACAGTTCAGACAAGTCCACAGATGATAGTACTTGAATGTGAGAAGGTAACAGTAAATTTTACTATTAAATGTTATTTTGTATGCAACTTATACAAATATTTGACTGTTTACACATATTGAGATGGCTAATTCCTTCAAAAACATTTTCTTTTGAAGGTACTTGCTCCGTTTTTAGCTTATTACGCTACTTTTAGCTAGTTTTGCTCATTTCAGCTTTTTGCTGCTTCTTTTCTCCAAACTTTTAGCTAGTATTCACTTCTTTTAGCTTTAACAGCTCACTTTCAGCTTCTTTGGCACATTTCTTCAAACCTTCAGCATTTTGGCAATAAATGCATTTTCTCCACTTGTCCCTGCAGCTCTGTATCTAGGTTGCATTATTGTATTTATGCCGCAAACACCCGACAATTAATCATCTGGTTAAAAGCTCCCATCTCCACTTCAGATCCACAGCAAAGCTTAGAATAAGCCTGCACATAAAACAATATCCGAGTGCTCGAAAATACAGGGAGCGCACATTCACCCTGCGTCGAGCAGCGTGAATACCTTTGTCTCGCTGCATTCCTGGGTGCTGGCGCTCCACTGGGCTTACAGCAGAATCATAAGCCCAGTCATTGTGTGGAAGGGCCCTGGGGCTGGAGGGGGGCAAGGAGTTGGGCCTCCCACCGGCCTTCTGGGAAGAGGCACAGTCCAGAGCGGAGCCAGAGCTGCAGCTGGGGCTGGGCCGAGCGCCAGAGGGAGAGCAAGGTGCAGAGACGGCTCGCACAGAGGCGTCCCCATGCGTGTGGCTGGGAGAGGGTCTGTCCTGCCCGTCCCGGCTCTCCTCAGCCCCCTCCTCATCAGGATTACTGTCTGTGTCCATAGTCATTGAAGTGTCCCCCTGCAACACACAAGCAGGAACACAGATTTGTACATCCCATTTTAATGATTCTAGTCCACAACCTGTGTGTGTTTGTCTATAACAGCAAAATATATCTTACTATTTGAATAGAACAAAGTCATCAGTGGGTGTCATCAGTAGGTGTACATCAGTGGGTGCACGTCTACAACTCATGAACCTCTGGAGTCAGTCCTACTCTAGACGGCCGTCACAGCTAATCAACCAAACCCAACTCAAAAGTGGCTCAGTGAATGTTGTAACTAAAACCTGGTGCAGTCCTAACTGAGAGTGATCCTCAACTCATACACTGAGCTCCGTCAAATCAGGCGCCCCCCCGTCAGAATAAGATGAATTCACTTCAACTCTCTGGTAGGGCTGGGGGATATATCGAATATGCTCGATGTATCACGAGACTTTCTATTTACGATGGTTAAAATGGCTTCATCGTGACTTGAAAATCCGTGTAGTTCTTTTTCTCCCATCTGCATCTTCATCTTCACACAGCAACCCTCCTTCTCCTTCTTTGAATACAAACACAGCACCTCAGCTGTGCGTGCTACCCCTGGCTCCTGCTTCTCCAGGTGTGTGTGTGTGTGTGTGTGTGTGTGGGGGGGGGGGTTAACGCGAGTAAACAAGGGGAGAGCAGTTTAGCTGCAGTGCAAAAAGAAAAACAATGGCTGTTATTTGAGATGGTTTGGATTTAAATTGTCAGATGAGCAGCAGAAAAATGTTTTATGTAGACAATGCCGAAAACAAATCCCATCAAAGGTCAGAACTACAAGTCTTGTTCACCATTTAAAACAGCGCTATTACTGTATTTTTCGCGTATAAGTCGAGGTTATTTTTGCATAATTTACATGCCCTGTGACTTATAGGCCGAAGCGACATATTATTTATGGATTTTTTCCCATATTTACAAACCATTTTTTGGCTGAGATATGACCGTTTTCATTCATTCTGACTGAAAAGAAGAGCAGTACCACTTTCAGCCACTTGATGGCAGCAGAGTAGCAACAGCTATATGGCGTGCTGTTGCATCATGTAATAGGTAAATGTGGCTATAATGACAAATTCAAAAAAGTTAAAGACAAAAACAACTGGACTTTATTTATTATACTTTCTTTTTTTCTTGAACTTTTTTGAATTTACCATGTCCTGGATGACTGAGAATCTTCACCAGCTATTAATGACTCAATCGGCCTGCCATATTCTCCTCACCTTCATTCTGCTCGTTGTTTGAAACCGTCAAAACAGCTGCACTTCCCCGGAAAAATGCAGCTAATTTGACCATTAAAGTGCATTTATTAAGCAAACATTACACTGTGACACACCTTTGTTATAATTTCGAGCAAACAAATAATTGTTTAGGTGTTTATCTTGTTAAATTTTGTACAGCGACTTGTCGCGTGCACGTGTTTACTTCTGCGTATCGGGTTTTGAAATACAGCTGATTTGACCGTCAAAGTGCATTCATTAAGCAAACATTAGATCGAGACACACATTTACTATAATTTTAAACAAACAAATGATTGTTTTTAAGTGTTAATCTTGTTAAATTATTGTTAACGTACTCCCGTGCACGCTCCCGTCGCCACCATTTGGGCAGCCCAATGGTTTTTGGCACAACACCTGTCCACATTTCCGGGTTGTCAGCGGTGACGCGTAACAAATGCGACGCATCAGCGGCGACACATAATAGATGTGACGTATACGACGAAGTGACATATTTATAGATTTTTCCACTTTATTAGACAAATATGGACTGATGCGACTAATAGGGCGGAGCGACGTTTACGGCGGAAAATACAGTAAGTTATAAGCTGCGGCTCTGACTGTTTTCAGCCTTTCCTGAGACAAACCACAGGTCAGATCTCATTTATTAGCCGTGCTGTACCATGAGAGCAACAGCGAGAGATGCCGGAACATTAATAAATGAGCAGCTTATCATATCGAAGACACGGCCCTTAGTGGCCAACAAGACGGTTAACTTTAGCCGTCTTGTTAGCCGTCTTGTTAGCCGTCTTGTTAGCCGTCTTTTAGCCGCTAAGGGCTGTGTCTTGGATATGATTAGCTGCTGATTTATTAATGTGGCACTGCCTCTCACTGTAAGACTTGAAAGTCTGTGTAGTTCTTTTTCTGCCCGTCCAACTTCACACACGCTTACTAACGTTGTGAAGGCGGCGCAGCTGAAGAGGATTATTATTTAATATAGGTACGGTAAATAGTTTTTTTTTTTTTTTAGATATTTAGTAGAGTTACAGCTGTTTGTTAATAAATGTGCCTGTGTGACAACTGGGCCAAAGCTTTGACTCAGAAATATTTGTTATTACTTTATGGAAATAAAAAAATATTAATTCATTCAACCTTTAGTTATACAGGTTAGTCTCATTGAGCCTCGGGACTCATTTACAAGAGAGACCTGTTTTTAACAAATAATGATGACAACAGTAGACAATCATAAAAGAAAGCATATGAATTGAAAAAAAAGAATGGAAGAAAATTATACTAAAAAAATGAAACAAAAACAGCTACACTATAAAGCGTTGTAAAATACTAAAAATAGGAACATGTCTGCATTGGTTTGTGCCATGAACTTAGCAGATGTTTGAATATGGAGATATGCTGGTGAAGATTCTCAGTCATCCAGGACATGGTAAATTCAAAAAAGTTCAAGACAAAAACAACTGGACTTTAATTGTAACAGAAAACGTTTCGCTTCTCATCCGAGAACTTTTCTCAATTCAAAAGTGCAGAGTGTGTGTGGGGTTCGGGTTATAAAGCTGAAATAAGATACACACATACATATGCAGATTGATCTATCACACCTCACAGTAGGGGTTTGTTAATTTTGAGATGTGGCCCCTCTGGTCTCATCTGATAGGTGTGAAAACTGGCTGGGCATCAGTCCTAAAGCTGTATATCCATTCACCTTCACCTCACGGATAAGGGACACTCATTTGAGGACCAAAATGTGCACATTTTGGACAGAGAAGACAGATGGTTTGAGAGGGGAGTGAAGGAAGCAATTTATGTAAAAAGAGAGAAACCATCTCTAAACAAAGGTCTCAGATTTCAACTTTCAAAAACTTATAATGCAGCTTTAGGACTGATACCCAGCCAGTTTTCACACCAAATCAGATGGGAGCAGAGGGGCCACATCTGTGAATTAGATTAACAAAGACTGGTGAAGATTCTCAGTCATCCAGGACATGATGAATTCAAAAAGCGTTCAATACAAAAACAACTGGACTTTATTTGTAACGGAAGACGTTTCACTCCTCATCCGAGGAGCTTTCTCAATTCAGAATTGAGAGTCCAGTTGTTTTTGTATTGAACGCTTTTTGGATTAACAAAGACATTAACAAACCCCTAGTGTGAGGTGTGACAGGTCAATCTGCACATGTATGTGTGTATCTTATCTTAACTTTATAACCTCATTCTCTCTGCGCTTTGAATTGAGAAAGCTGCTCGGAAGAGAAGCGAAACGTCTTCTGTTACAAATAAAGTCCAGTTGTTTTTGTCTTGAACTTTTCTGAATATCGATTTATTGTATATCGCCATTCACCTTAACAATAACAAGTTATTAATTTTGGTCCTGGCTTAAAAGACAAAGGGTGATAAGCATTCCTTCTAAGAATCATTCATTTATTGTCAATTTGTTGAAATGGATAATGCAACAAGCCTGCAGTCCTGCAAGGTTACAGGAGACTTGATCATGGCTGAAGGTTTGACCGCTGTGCTGCTTCTTTTTTTTTTTTTTTAATACAAATATGCAGTTAGACGTCTGGTGGGATGTAACTAGTTTTCCTCCACTTTCAGCAGGACATGGATTGTAAGGGGGTGGGGGGGACGTCCTGGGAGAAAAATTACCTAGCGTGCGGCTGCGTGCAAGAGGAGCGCGCGCGCGCACATAGTCCACTGGGTCTTATCCAACATCATTTCACTTGTGCCAAAACCTGCAGATCTGTCGGGTGTTTAGAGGCCATGTTGATCCGGATCGTTGTTCACACAGAACAGAACGAAAACGGGGCCGACGAGAGGCGTTTTTCTCCTCTCAGATTTCCTCCAAAGTGCGCATGGAGTTGGAGAGGAAAAAAAAAAAAAAACCTTCGCCATTGTGTCTGTCGTTTCCTTACCGAGCCGCTGCAAACACACGCACGCACGCACAGCGAAATAAACAAATGAACACGAGGTAAACTCGATGGGCAGACGTTTTCATCGGTTTTCTTTGACTTTACGGGGTCAGTAGTTTACTGAAGAACAAAAAACGTATCGGTTTGAAGAGAAACGCATATGGTTCCGTTATCGGACACGCATGCAATTTTCTTAACCAAAAAAAATAATTAATAAAAAAAAATAAAAAAAATCCATGAGCGTGTCCGGGAGTCTGTTCAGAGCGAAACAGCCGCATTTCAGCTCGTTGCGAAACGCGGGTGTCTCCAGTGAACAAAGTCGATGTAATCGCAGCTCGGACAGGCGCATCCGCCATCAAGCGGTTCCGCGATCGCTGCTTTCGTTACTTTGCCCTGCTGTGACTTTGTCTTTTAAATATATATTTAAATATAATGGCCTCAGACAGTCACGATGAGATGCATCTGCTGCACGGGACGAGAAGGGCCACAGCGACACTGAACGCCACATCCTCGGACGTGACCGGGTGTCCGATAATGGATTTAGGGGGTTCGACTGTGCACTGCGTCGACATTCTCCCATCACGAGGGGGGAAAAAATCCACCTAAATCGCACAGGTGTGTTTATTTATACGTTTCTTAGAGGGAATTTTGTTGCAGGTTACGGTGGATTGAGTCGTATGATGAGACAATTGGTGGAATATTTAGAATATGACGGATAAAACAATGTTAAAGCATAGGAGAAATGTGGACGGCAACGTTGACAGAAGAGCGCATGAACTCGTTTTTCAGGGACAATAAAATGAACCAAATGTCCCATCGCCCCCGATCCCTTCTACATCCGCGCTGTTCCGAGACTTTTTTCCCCCCTTCATCCACTCCCACACCGACAACAAGTCAGACAGAATAAAAAGAACCGTTTCCAACTCCGTCTTTTAAAATAAAACCACCACTGCACAATGCGCATTCGAATGCTTTTATTTTGAAAGCCGGCTTCCCGTGTTTCCGGTTAAACTCGGCCCGTTTCTTCGCTTCGCTCCAACGCCGAGTTTTTTGGGGCTTGAAAAGCGCTTTCTGCCGCTGATAATGGAGGCTCGTGTTGTTGCGCACGAGCAGAACAGGGCAACTTTTCCGCTCTTTGGTTTGCGCCTTGTTTTTGGTGCTTCACAAGCGGCGCGACGTAGTTACGCTACAGTCGCGCTAGCTTACACGCGCACCTTCTTTTCTTCGCCTCGGCAGCGCTCGAGCGAGGTCCAACCGCCGCTCCCCGTCTGCGGCAGTTTGGGTGCACTTGCAAATCACTCCCCCTCCCCCTCACAGTGAATAATACAAAAATACATCAATTTTTTTTCTTTGTTTGTCAAACCACACATTTGAGCTGCGTTTACACTTGTACATTCGCCGTGATGTGCAATGACAACCGCACGCGAGCTTGTGAAACGGTAACTCCTCGCGCCGCCGCGAACCTCCACATTACCTCCAAATCCTCCTCGTCCGGGTCGGCGGCACCGAAAGCGCTGTCCCCGTTGCTCAAGTCCGAGTGACTGGCTTCTTCCACCGCCGCGCTCCTCCGCGCCGCCGTCGTTAGCGACACATCGTCCTTCTTTCTGCTCCTCCGCTGAACCTTGGCGGCGTTCCGATACGAAATGGAGCCCTTGTAGTTAACTTTCAGCACGGTTTGCTCCTGAATCAGTTTCTCCAATTCTGCGCAGGTTCGGTCGGGCTCGGACCCGTGCCGTCTCCGGACCATTCGGCAAATCCTCTCCAAGTCCGGCCGGGCTTTTCGAGACCGCAGCGAGTCGATAGTGTCCAAAATCCACTCGCGGTACTTGGGTTCAGACATGTTTTTCTCTGCCTCTCTGTGTTCGCTCTTTCTCCCCCCCACCTCTTCGTTCCTCGCTGCGTCGCGTTTAAACGCTACACACTCGGTGATTTTCGTTATCCGCGGTCCGAGCCTCGCAGAGAAGCGGAAACCTCGACTCCACACCTCCCGCGTTTGCGTGTGCGCTTAAGGTGGACCGACGGAGATGCGGCGAAAAGTTTCACTCGGTTTTAAGGTGGAATTCCGGGACGTGAGCGAGCGCCTCGCACCACGTTCTGCACGCGCGCGCGGTACTTTTAATTTTATCAATACTTTACTTCACAACATAATATATATATATATATATATATATTTGTTTTAATTAGGCAAGTTTCTTTCTGCGGCTCCTTCTTCAGGAGTCGCCAGTGAACTGCAGGAAACATTTGTTTTACACCGGCCCATCCTGACGCAACTTGGGCTCGAACCCGCAACCACAAGACCGCGACACTGACCACCAAGCTATTTTTTAAACAATAATTTTATAATTTCAATATGGAACAATTAAGAAAAATTATTTGGATGTTGGAAAATGTGATAATACTGTCAGGAGGTTTCAGCCTCATGGCTCTAATTTGAGTTATTATGAGTCTTTGAGGCTCTATGTGATTTATCTGTGTAAATAAAGATTGAATGAATTATTATTATTAATTATGTTTCGGCTGCTCCCTTCTTCAGGGGTCGCTACGGCAAACTAACTTGCACGAACACTTGGCAATTGTTTTTACTCTGGATGCCCTCCTGACACATCCACAAACCACTGAGCTACCACAGCCCTCTGTGCGGAGCAGGGAGCTGATGGCACTTGGGGGAGGTTAAGGGCCTTGCTCAAGGGCCCAGAGTGGAGCAAGTATAGGTGCTTCACCTATCCCACCCACATTTTGACGTTGTTGGTAACGGGAGTTGAACCAGCAATCTTCCGATCAAGGCTCGCCTTCTCTAACCTCTGCGCCATCACTCCCCCAATAATATTATTAATAAGATCTAAATCTTGTGGCACAGTTTTAGAAAGTTCAGTTTAAGAAGACAATGTGTAGCCAAATTAGTTCTATAAAACTAAAGATTGTTAAATAAAATCCTATAATGTAAATCTCAGTTTGTTCCTTGTGATCCATCGCACACTACAGCAAGCGCCTTCCTGATGGAGAGAACATGTAATTGTTCAACCATTTTCGCTTGCATCTCCCCAGGTAAATGGTTAACGAGGTAGAAAACTGGAAACTTATAATTCAGACCACTATGAATACCAGAGCTTCCTTAGTAAGAGTGCCTGCTGAAAATGTTTGGATCATTGCAGTCTAGCCTGCATTTGCGTTGTTATGCGGTCAAACACAACTTCTTTTCTTATAGTCATCGTGTCGAACATTTTAAAGCACAATATTCATTCTCACTTACTGCTTTCGTCAGGTGCGCCATAACTTTTTAAAATCCTGGCAGACAGTCAAAGCTGGCACTCCACTTTGAAATAGGATGAGGAAGATGCAAGTACTTGTATGCCCGAAGACTGTAAAAATAAACATTCACAGCAAATTTATTCAATCCCTCTGAATGTCTTATGCCATGCTCGTCTTTGCCGGCTGACCTAACTTCGGTGGTGTCTCTGTACTAATGTGAGCAAATCAAGCTGATTTTGATTAAGAAGTTGCTGATCCCGTAATTTTTGAAGTAGGTTTGAAATTCTCATTTTTCCTTTTACCTTTTGTTTCAACACCCTCACCACGCTTTTCGAATCTTGAAGACGTGACCACGCATCTTCAAGTCTCTCCTCAAACGTTTCAGGATAACAGTAGGTATGTTCAGAATTTGATGGGCCCGATTTCTCCTTTCTTGGTTTGTTGCTGGGGGGTCCATGTGTGAGCAGAAGCCTACTCCGCTTCATCAGAGGATTTGCAAGAAATACTGTGGGAGCTGCATTGTCCTTCAGTTCATGTTTGATAGCATACTGGTCGTCCCTTGGGTGTAGACCTGCAAAAATAAATACAGTAACGCATATGAAATTAAATAATTTATTAAACCATATGCAGATTTTTAACAATTTTTAATGTCACAAGTCAGTTACAACTGAGGTGTGTTAACATAGTTATAGAACTCCGTGTATGCCAGTAACTAAGTATATTAGAATATTTTGCCATTTATATGGAATAAAAACACCACCGTAATCTGATATACTGTGGACTATTATAGATCTTACCGAAAGAAAAACTGATTTAGTGCACAACTTGGGTATTGCATATAAGGAAGGTTGCATAAAAGTACAGGAAAAATGTATATTTAGTATTATTTACCTCTTATGTAGTCGCCACTTAGAAAATGTTCACTGCATATTCGGTGATGCATAGGATAAAAGTTTTCCCTTCTGATATAAGCTAACCATCTTTTCAATAGGGGTGGTCTGTCTAATGGAAACCTAAAAAAAATGTTAAATATATATAACATTACCATATTTTACACATTGTAAATATTACAATTGGAGGCAATGGCAGCTTGTACCATTTAATATTTTGTGCTAAATTGCAGCATGATTCAGCCTGAACAGTATACTAAGCCGACCATACTACATCGGTATTATAGACTACATTTAAACTGTCATCATCTTAAATTCTGGTCATTCACATTGAGGTGAATAAGGTCAAATCTGCTTACTTGTGAAAGGAGACACATTTTCCTTTTTGTCTTCTGTTGCTACATCCGTTGCACGCACGGCTGTCTGGCATTTTTAGTTTTATTTGATACAAACATTCTATGTTCTATATTAAATAAACTAGGCAGCTCTTACTCAGGGCTATTTGGCCAATATCTATCAAAACAAGTGCAGACGTCTGACCGTTTTAGTAATGGCCCCCCGTTGCTGCAGACACACGTGACCTTGAATGACAAGGTCACGTGACCAGTATGCCCCAGCCGTACATAGTTGTAAAAGGGTGATGTTAACTGGAAGTCTGGCGAAAAGTGGGAGCTTCTCGACTGTTCATAGCAAAACATTACTACTTTTACTTTTAACACATTTAGCCCGTCTGCACGCAGTACTTTTCAGTATTTATAAGAGGGCATATTTAAAAAAAAAAAGCTGATTGTAGCACGGAATGCGGCCATCTTTTTTCCGACCGGTGGGAGACTTAAACAAAAAACATAAAAAAAACTTATTTATAACAGTACACATTACAAGGTCAGCAGTTCGGAGACGGCGGGAGACTGGAACGCAGTCTCGTATATGACGTCATTCAGACATCCCACTTATGAGTTCCGATGGAAATGGACCGCAGCATATGGCAGACACCGATTGTATTTGGGCTGTGATTACTTGTGATTTCGTTGCACAAGTGGCTGTGAAAAAATTAGCCTGATACAAATCTTAAAAGATATGAGCAAATTCCAGGAAGGTGCAGCCGAGACTGATTTGACATTTTTTGTAGCTATTTTTATGCTTCATACTTCATAATCATGCTCTAAAATAAATGGCCGGACATCATTAATATAGGATTAAAAACAGCTGACGTGGCTGAACTTAAGTTTTCTCCTTCATGTTTCTGCTGCAGAGATAAAATGTTTTAAGCGAGGTGTTCAAACCTTTACTTGAATCCCTAAAGTGAATGGTGTTTAAAAGAAGTGCATGAAAGTGTGAGGGCTGAGACTGACCTCATGCTACAATAAAAATGATAAACGTATAACAGTATTTAATTGTGCCAACTAGCAAGACCATTACTGACACATTTTTTTTATAATTTACTTTGACTCCAAATTGAATTTAACATGCCCCAAACATTTACACACATTTCCAAAAGAAGCCATCTTGAAAAATGGCAGCTATGATTTTTTTCCACATGGAAACATTTTTTTTATTTTCTTAAAATACAGGTCCAGATTAATTGTGGCAAATTTCATGCTTATATCACCAAGTGCACGATTGTTTTACTAATCTGCAGCACTACCATGGGAACTACTGCAGCAGCCTTGATAGATGACAGTGGACATGTATATTCATATACATAGCTAAAGGATTGATGGAAAAAATGGTTACATATGCTTAAGTTTCAATGGTATATGATTTTTTTTTTTTACCAGTCCATTTACAGTTTCTATTCAGGTTAAACAGGCATCATAAGTGAACATGTTACATGTTTAGGGTCATACAAACCTCAAGTTCACACGCTCCCACATCCAGACCTGTTGTATAGCTTATAAAACCAAAATAAACTTTATGAAATATTAAACATTGCATAAATGAGATTAATAACAATCACTACATGTTTGTCTTAACAAGTAAAACTTTATTGGAATGATACATTTTGCAAAATATTACTTTGTTTATATTTTTTTAACATACTCATTGTGTTCTAGGGGTATCTCAAGTTGTCCAGAGGGTAAGATAGTTAAGACTGTCAAAGGCAAGGATATACAGTATTGTTTCCCATAAAAAAGGTACAATAGACTACACAAGCACTGTACCCAGCTCATGAGGAGAGATTGATGTTTTTGCTATTTTCCACCCCCAGATCTTTTTTCTGAAAATACAATTAGAAAATATGAACGCAAACATCTCAGATGTAAAAAGTGTTATGTTTGAGTAAAGTTATGTGAAAATAGAAGGCAAACAGGAGACAAAGTTAATGTAGCACAGAGCAATCAATCGTGTCAAGCTGATAGAAAAAAACTTAAGACGGCTGTCAGTAAAGTTTTTATGGAGAAACTTAAAGAATGTTGAGTTTTCAGTGTCTGTAGAATCAAGTTCAGCTCACAAACTCTGATTCGTGAAGTTAAAAAAAAAAAAAGAAGACGAAAAGATACATGTGCTTTCTTCAAAGTTTGAAAGAATTAGCACAAATTATTGAAATGGATTTGAAAAAGTGTGGCGTGTGCTTTATTATTTTGAAATATCTGGACAAATTGGTTCCACTGCACGGTTTAGTGTGATGTTCAAACGAGTCAAAGGACCGTGTGAGCTCTAGAAACAAGGACGTGTTTCAGGTCCAGGAGAAGTCTCACCATCGCTGCCTGCTTTATTACATGCAAGAAAAGAAAAAAGAAAAATACGTGTATTAGAAAAATACACGTTTCCAAACAGCCTTGAAACTTCTCCATTTCCAATACATTCAAAAGATAACCTGTGTTTGATCTTAATTACGTTAAGACGCCACCAAAACGAACACTCCAGCCTACTGAAATCATCGAGTCAAAAACATTCGAACAGAGTCATGTTATCAAGAGCGAGACAACGAGACTGATGTAATTCAAACAACTCACCGAAGCTTTTCAGTGAAATGGACAAAGTCTAGCACCGAGGGCCTTTGAAGGACGAGTGAGAACGTTCATCCTTCAGATCAAAACAAGGTGTTCAGTCAACAAACCAGCAATGAGATTTGGTCTGCGATTGTCTTGCATCCACAGAATTAAACTTGGCAAAAAGTGGACCACTTAAAACTGCTTCTGTAGTTTAATTTGTAACAAAACAAACAAAAAAAACAAAAAAACAATCCCAGTCCCAACAGTCGGACTGCAAAACAGTGCGACAGTGTCACAAATCAGAAACATAAAGAGAACAGGAGAAAACCAAATCTGCCAAAATGAGATTTATCAGCGAACACTGAAATAAACAAAGCCCAGAAGACTTTGACACTTTGAACTGGATCTCATACAGATCGTTGAGCATTTGTTTCAATTTTAAACTCTTTATCCACAATCTCAGGTACCTCAGCTCAGATATTCTCCACCATCTTTCTTTAAAAGTGATACTGTACAAAAATAACATGCACACGGTGTTGAAAAGTTTTGCTACTGTTCTGCGTAATTAAATCCACCCATTCTTGTGCCATACAGTCAACTGTAATGAACTCAAGTAGGCAAACTTGGCAGAATTTATATTTCTTTTTGAAAATTTCTTTTAGTTTTACAGCTATGAGACAGTGTTGAAAAGAAGAATACTCCGTTTATATGTGAATAATAAAATAAACAATAGTCAGGAGTGTGACTATAATGTCAGCGGCTGCTAAAGCGCGGCATGTTAAGCCACCCTTGAGATAACACACAAGCACAGAGATCGACATAAAAAGGACAAAATAATCACCAATAGAATTTTTTTAAATGCGCTAATAAATTCAGCTAAGAAGAAAGACAGACCTCATGTTTACTTCTCTCAGTGGCCTTGAGGAAGTTTACTGTGATAAATAACTTCATTCTGATTGAAGAGACCGCTGCTTTCAACGCAAGCAGCAGAGTGCATCATCTTCCCAGTAATCATGCCACATTGAGCAGACAAAGGCAGGTGCAGACGGTTTTTCAAGCTTTCAACCACATGGCCACAGTGGTCGACGCCACCATAGTCAAAACTCTGCACCATCACGTTCGACAAAGTTTTCCAACCAGTTGGCGTTATGATAGGCACGTCTGTTGGACTTGGTATTGCTTGGACAGAATCCAGTTGGAGAGATGGAGGGGAACCAGGCTGACAGGATACAACAATCACTCTACAGTTGCTGAAGAAGCTTGTAGAGCAGGCCCGATCGACAGAATGAGCCCAACAGATTCAGTACCTTCCACTAGAAAATCTGTGCCTCCACCTTGAAAGACTGCAAATGTGTTATCATGCCATCAGAAGAAAAAAAAAAAAAAAAAGAACAACTCTAGCTGAACAGCAACAACCTATGCTTGTTCTTGTCAAGATCCTGTCACAAACACATTAGGGATAAATAAATTAATAGTGAACAGTTGAGAAACAATCAGAAAAGGCAACACTGCTGGTTCTGTAGATCGTTCGTCACCTACCTTTCCAAATTTGGGGGATTTTACTTTTTCCTCATAACAAATGAGCAAATTATCAGTCCACACAAGTGTTTCGTGGATTCAGATCCCCTTTTTACTTGGCAATTTCTGCCCCTCTCCCTGCTACTCAAGGTTGAAATCTAGAATTCTGCAAACTCCTTTGCACACTTCTCTGAGAAGGAAACTCTGATTTCCTCTTCCTCGTAGTCGTCAAAGTTGCTCGTGTCACCGGGGCCTTTGCATTTGGGGATAAAAGGAGCTTCAACCTGGATAAAAAAAAAAGGAAAAATTACATGCACAGTCCTCTAGTTTAAAATATCCACAAAAATTACTGGGTTGGATCTAACAAGGTTGAGTCAGGACGTCTGGATGGATTCTTCGTTGTTGAAACAGTTCATCTTTTATCTAAAAGACTTATTCAGTCTGAGGAGCTGCAACAAACTCAGTCTTATAAGCAGCACCTTCTCATAGTGGATCAACCAGTTAGCTTGCGACAGCCAGAACTACTGTACTTGTTGGCGTGTAAGTTGCGTTTTTTTGCATTATTTGCATGCCCTGCGACTTATACTCTGAAGCGACATATTTATGGATTTTTTTCCCATATTTATAAACCAATTTTTGGCTGAGATATAACCGTTTTCATTCATTCTGACTGAAAATATGGAACACTACCATTTTCAGCCGCTAGGTGGCACTCGAGTAGTATGGCACGACATTGTATCATGTAATAGGTAAAAGTGGTTATTAATGACAATTGGCTTGCCACACATTTGTATATATTTTTGTGTACATTTATTTTTTTAAGCTATTTAACTAACTTATTTTTTATTATTCAATATTTTACTAACAGAATAGTAAAATAGCAACCTGTTTTTTGTGTGAATTGCTATGTCAGTCAAATGTTCAATTTTGGAATAAAGGGGTGGAAATTAAAATGTTGTGGGTTTTTTTGCCGATTCATTGATTAATCGAAAAAATAATCGGCCGATGAATCGATTATTGAAATAATCGTTAGTTGCAGCCCTAATATCTTGTTAAATTTCAAAGACGTGCAGCGACACGTTCCTCTGCGCGCGCCTACTTCTGCGTATCGGCTTTTGAAATACAGTTGATATGCATGTCAAAGTGCATTTATTAAACAAAAGTTAGACTTAGACACACCTTTATTATAATTTTGAGCAAACAATTGTTTTTAGGTTGTTATCTTGTTAAATGTCGAAGAAATGCATGACTCGTCCTTCTGCGTATGCCCACTTCCGCGAATCAGGTTTTGAAATACAGCTGAGTTGATCATCAAAGTGCATTTATTAAGCAAAAGGTAGACTGAGACATACCTTTATTATAATTTTGAGCCAACAAATTATTGTTTTTAAGTGTTAATCTTGTTAAATTTTTGTTAAAAGTCCTCCCGTGCATGCTCCCATGGCTGCCATTTGGCAGCCAATCGATTTTTGGCACAACACCAGCCCACATTTCCAGGTCCGGCCCACATTTTTGGGTTGTCAGCGATGACACGTAACAAACACGACTTGTCACCGGTGACGCATAATAGATGCGATGTATACGGCGAAGAGACATATTTATGGATTTTTCCACTTTATTTGACATATCTGGACTGATGCAACTTATAGGGCCGTGCAGCGTGTTCGGCAGAAAATACGGTAGTTGTTCACATGTAAAAGAAGGCCCATCGGCCTAACAACCAATCGTTAGTGCCCTGACGGCCGCTTGCTATTTACAGAGGGCTGATATTTGCAATAACAGCATTGTAAGAGGGGGACAGTTAAACACAGAAGCCTCTGTCCCTGTTTAAAGAAGGACAAGTTTTTTTTCATAAAGATGGCTTCCTTCACTCTTCTCTCAAACCAACAATCCTCTTCAAAAACAAATTTATCTTCATTAATTAATTGATGGCCTTGAATGTATATCTATCATTTAGAAAGCAAACTTAAGTACTTGACACTACAGGACTACCTGATCATGGGTGGCTGCATTCATTTGGATCTTTTGCAAACAGGGAGATTAAATGGTGCTAAAATTAAAGTTGAGGTATATAAAAAATATATATATATTTAGATGATTTTTGTGTTAAATAAAGTCTCCTTTTTGTACTTTAAGTGTGTACTTTGATCAATTTATTTTAAGTGCTGTCATTTTGTCAGCTTTTTCCTAACATTCCTGAGACTACATGGGGTTGTTTCACTGTGCTTCTTTTCATTTCTCTAGTCATTTACAAAGTGTAAAATCCTTTAACAGATAGAGCCGCAGTCACTTCCACAGGCAAAATTTTAATCAAAACCATCTTTTGTCATCATTTCCTTTTGCTTCCTTTGTAAGACACTATCCGTACACAATGTGAAAGAAGGATATACAATTTCCTTAATACAATATCCACAATAAAAAAAGAAGGCTGGCTTCACCTTTTTCTGGTAGATGGCAATCCAGTCTGTGGTGGCAAACCATTTGTGACCCTTGATATCACTGACTCCATTCCTGAGGTTGCCAAAGCGCTTGGTCAGGTCAACTTGCAGCAAATTTCTCAAAAGATCCTTTAGATCTGAGCTGAAGTGAGAAGGGAAGCGAACCTAGAAAACAGAAAAATAATGTGGAGGTTCATAAGCAAAAGGTCTAATCTCTCTCGATGATTGAAAACAGACTGCAGAACTGGGGATTATAGCGAGTTGTAGATTAGCTCATGCTAAAATGATGCCATCCACACAGAGGGTGTTTCAGTGTTTTTTGTCCATCTTAATTAAATTAAAAGCTGTGAAATAACTGGTGCACATGCCATCAGTTACCTTTCTAGTAAAGTTTATAAGACAAATACTGTCATTAAACTAAAACTACAATGAACAAAATTTTAATAGGTTTATTATTTACCTTTATTGAAAAGCCAAAATTAGCATTGGTAAATACAAAATGCTAAAAAAACAACAACAAAAACAAACTTGAGCTACCTTAATGCCCAATTGAATTAACTGCAAAAATTAATTGTTCAATAAGTTTTGTTTTTAAAAATCTGAATATTTTGTGATTTTTTTCCCCTCAAGTTTTTCAAGTTGTAAAATAATACTAGACATCCAAACACCAAAGCAAATTACAAATTTGTATTGTTAAAAGGATTCATAGTTGTGGCCTATAAAGTACTAAAACAGTTTAGAAGAGAAATCTACTTTATCAAGTTATTTTTAGTTTCCTCATCAGATACAGTCTAGAATTTGAGTGTAATGTGTCAATGTCATCATGATTTATTTGAAATTTTATAAGTTTGTACTAAAAATGATAAATACACTATTTAAAAGGTAACTTTCTCGAATCTCACCTTCCCAGAAACAATCTTTTCATAAATCTGAATGGGCTGGTCTGCAAAGAAGGGAGGATACCCAGCAGCCATCTCGTATATCAGAACTCCCAGAGCCCACCAGTCCACTGCTTTATTGTAACCCTGAACACACAGAAAGGAAAATGTCACTCATGTTCTCAAAGATACCGATCAGATGTAAAGACAACAAGTAAAAATATCATGTTGACTTGAAATGTCTTAAAGGCCCAGCTTACTCCATCTAAAGCGGCAAAATTAGATCTAATTGACATAGTTGTGTGATGAAAATTGCGTAATTTTGTTGTCAGAGTAGCTCCTCCCCTTGTCGACACAAGGCCTTGGCCAAACCTTTTCCTCACAAGGGTATGTGCCAAGTATTGTATAATTGGTCACAAGTCTGTGGGCGAGCTCGTCAGCGCTGAAATGCACTCGGACATTCAGCTGTACGACTCTTCAAACACACTAAAGTAGTTAAATATCCAAAAGCTCCTGATGGAGATCGTGCAGACATTGAGTAGAGAGGAGTCTGTCTGCTGAAAAGCGTGATGCTATCTTCATGAATTGTAGGCAAACGGCAGATGCAGGGATGAGTGGAGAGTCTGGTGGGAAGAAAGCCGTGCAGTGACGTATACTGCAGCGAGAGGGGTTTCCCAGGAGCTCTGCACCGTGTGTCTCATGGACTGTGAAATAAGGCTGGGCGATATGGACTAAAATTAATATCTCAATATTTTAAGATAGATGGTGATATACGATAATACATCAATATTTTTTTCCATAAAGTAATAACAAAAATATATTTCTGAGCCAAAGCTTTGTACCTATTGTCACACAGGCACTTTTATCAACAAAGCTGTAACTGTAACAAAACCAAAAACACAGCTGTCCACTTAAAGTTTAAACAGAAAACATACAGAAAATAATAAAAATAATGAAAGACTGACTTGCTCTTTAAAAAGTCTGATTCTAATGAAGCATATTCATTCAAACTTTATTAACCTTTATTAACAAAGCTATTAGAAAGCCCACATTTTTGTGTAGTTGGCTTGTTTACTGAGCTCAGTTCTATTTGGTTACAGCTCGTTTCTTTCTGCATTTCATAGTTCCTATGCTCCTGAATGCACCGTGGCTGTTCCGACGTTCCTGAATGCACCACTCTGTGTAAACAAAGTGCAGAGCTGCCTGTTTCTGTCCTGGTCAGTGTTTGCCGATGACCATTTGGATTATACAGAGGAGTCATGGGAGAAAGTTATGTGGTCAAATGAGACCAAAATAGAACTTTTTGGTCTTAATTCCACTCGCCGTGTTTGGAAGACAAAGAATGATGAGTACCATCCCAAAAACAACATCCCTACTGTGAAGCATGGGGGTGGAAGCATCATGCTTTGGGCGTGTTTTTCTGCACATGGGACAGGACGACTGCACTGGGGCCATGTATTGCAAGATTTTGGGGAACAACCTCCTTCCCTCAGTTAGAGCATTAAAGATGGGTCATGTCTGGGTCTTCCAATATGACAATGACCCAAAGCACACAGTCAGGAGAACCAAGGAGTGGCTCCGTAAGAAGCATATCAAGGTTCTGGAGTGGCCTAGCCAGTCTCCAGACCTAAATCCTATAGAAAATCTTTGGAGGGAGCTCAAACTCGGGTGTTTCTCAGCGACAGCCCAGAAACCTGGCTGATCTAGAGAAGATCTGTACGGAGGAATGGGACAAAATCCTGCTGCAGTGTGTGCAGACCTGGTGAAAAACTACAGGAAACGTTTGACCTCTAATTGCAAACAAAGGCTACTGTACCAAATATTAACATTGATTTTCACAGGTGTTCAAATACTTGTTTGCAGCAGTAACACACAAATAAATTATTTTTAAAAATCATGCATTGTAATTTCCGGATTTTTTAAAAAAAAGATTTTGTCTTACAGTGGACATGCACCTAAGATGAAAATTTCAGACCCCTCCATGATTTCTAAGTGGGAGAACTTGCAAAGTCGCAGGGTGTTCAAATACTTATTTTGCTCACTGTAGCTACTGGTCCTGGTCGGGAGTTTGTTTCTCTCCTGACACACGGACGGAGCCTTGAGCTTTTGTTTGCGCTTTACTACTGTTGTAAATATCAGAAGAAACACAGCAAATGAATCACCCTAAACTGGATATTTGTCTCCATGTTTTTTAATGAGAAGACAACTTCATACCGTGCCACTCTAAAGGCTCCAGCTTACTCCCGTGTCCTGTCAGCCGCGCGGAAACTGTGCGCACTGTCCGCAGAGGGTTGAGACTTCATACTTGAGCGTCCACCCTGAGCGGCTGCAGAACAGCTCCACAGACAAGGGGAGTTTACCTTCGGGGCAAACTGAGGTCGCCGATTGGTCATTTGCTGACACCCCTACTGAACTGATTGACAGGTTGAGATAAAAAAAATAAAAAAAACTAGAGCTGGCAGCCCCAGCCACCGTGGTTTTCTGTGTTTATATGTTGTTTTTAAAATAAAAAACAAAAAACAGGGAGTGCTGGCCCTGCAGCCCACACATCAAACCAGCCCACCAGGAAATCTCCAGGCCCTCCCGCAGCCACGCTGGACCTGATTTTAATTTGCTTGTGACAAATTCCTTCATTTCTCACCATTTCAGTCATGGTATAAACAGAAAAAGAAGAGATCGCTTGCCTTTTGGCAAAAAAAACAAAAGAAAAGGCCAGATCAGGAATGAAGAAGGGGATTTAATACAATGGTGTCGCATACAAAACAGTCCGTCGCCGGGCAGTTTATTGTGCGACACTGAGTATGCGTACGCGGTCGTAAAAATTGAGCTTTGCGCGGACATGCCCTGTGGGCGTCCGCTTAGACTCTAATCCGGTACACGAGGACCTCTACGGACTGACCTACCCTCGAGTATACTGGGGGCTTAAACCTCTTATCTCTTCTTTTCCTGGAGAACACCAAACCTCTGCTTTTTGCAGCTACTGTCATTTTCACAGCCATCAGGAATTTACCCCCACTGTGAGTCAACAAAGACACATCTGCATATCTAGCTTAGCTCAGCTCTATAATTCAAATAAAGTCTTCAGCTGCAGCAAGCGGCAGGGGAGGGGCGGGTTTGTATTCAGTGAGGGAGAAAGGAGGGGTGGTGTGAAGGCGCAGACTGAGAAAAACAATCAGCTGTCGAGGAGGAAACAACTTGCAGCCCATAAGCTTTGCATCAACATGTTGATGGTCACGATTGGAGATGCAAAGCAGTCAAGTCTGGTACATGTTTTAATAAAAGTTTTTAAATTCTTTTTGTGTGACATCTTTGGAGAACAACATAAGGGGTCTTCCCCCCTCCACTTTCCGTCATGAGAGCTCAGCGGTGGACAAGTCATCAGATTTATGTTTAAAGCAGTCAGTCAAGACTGGTACATATTTAAATAAAAGTTAAAAAATAATGTTTCTGTGTACAGTTAATATGTGTTTACATACCAGTATCTCATTTAAGTTTAAACAGGGGCATTAAACAGAGTGGAGGAGACAATGGAAGGAAAAAAATTTTTTAAAAAAGAATGGGGAGGGTGGGGCTGTTCTTCCTCATATGAGCTCTGCTGAGGAGAAATCACGCCAAACATGTATTTAAAAACAGCAGTTGTTAACAAAAGTGTTTACCAATTAAAAAAAACAATGATACTAATTTAATGAATATTTACTGCATTCTACTGGTACTATTTGACTTCCGGTCACATGACCTAGATAAGACTGGGTTTTACCGGTAAATAATTTTAAAATAATTTCAGTTAAGTAGGTGTTTGGCACTGTTCTGTCCAGTGACTATGCTTGGATAGTTATTGTGTTCATTTTGAAGGTATAATGGTTGCAATCATGAGTCACACAGCAAAGCTTCACAACGATCTTGCAGTCTGAGCGTGTGTTGAAAGCAAGCTATACTCTGTGAAACAATCTGCTGGATGACTCTTCTACTACAACAAGAAAGCTTCAATGCAGTCGGAGCAGACTGGGGGCATAGTTTCTAACGATGAACGGTGGATGCCCGCGGCTAAATAACCAGAGCATCTTATTTATGTAAAAAATTAAGATTGATCTTATATTTAATAAGTGTGGCTTAGAGACAGGTGTGTTCTAAATCCTGACAATTACGGTAAATATAACTACATAGAGTGTAAGACTACTGTATATAATTTTCTATCAATATAATTTCATTTCATTTCGCGTATGAAATTATCTTGATATTTTTAAAATATAGAGATATTGCCCAGCCGTACTGTGAAAGGTGCGTGCGAAAATGAATGTCCCACAACCATGTGACTGCGAGTCGATTGTTCGGCTTCAGATGGAGTATGCAGGGCATTTTAGACTGCCACAGTCCTCACTGCAGACTGAGCTCAGAACTTACTTTACTCAGGATGATCTCTGGTGCCAGGTACTCTGGAGTCCCACACAGCGTCCAAGTTCGACCTTTGACCCGCTTTGCAAATCCAAAATCTGTTACCTAAGAAAAGTACACAGTTCTGAGCACTGATCACATACAGCAGATGAATATTAATAACAACTAAACAGAAAATATTGCTGATCCCTGAAAACCAGTTCTAAAAGCCTTGCCTGTATGTAACCTTGCTGGTCGATCAGCAGGTTCTCTGGTTTCAAGTCTCGATAGATGAGATCCAAGGAGTGAAGGTACTCAAAGGTTAGTACAATCTGGGCTGCGTAGAAACGGGCGTGTGGTTCACTGCAAGACATATGAACCTCAACATTTACAGTCAACCAACAGAAAGGAGAAGTTCTTTATCTGAGCTGAGTCAGCCTACCTGAATCTACCAATCCTTCTTAAATGTGAGAACATTTCACCTCCAGGCACATACTCCATCACCATATACAGATTGCTGTTATCCTGCAGCAAGAGAAGAGAAGTCTCATTTTGTCATGCAAAAAAAGCTGACAAGATGAACGCACTGGCAGATGTGAGGAGATAAATATTTAAATGTATACCTTGAAAGAGTGTTCCAATCGCACCAGAAAAGGAAAGCTGACAGCTTGCAGGATGCGTTTCTCGTTCAGCGTGTGTTCTATCTGCTTCAGCTTGACTACCTGAAAAGGAGCAGGAAACACGTGTTAAAAATATATATTCACAACAAATTACAACATTAAACAAACTTATTACTTTCAAAAGCATGGCTTGTTTTGTTTAATTTCAAATTGATTAAATGTAACATCAACTCATTTGAAAATAAGTTTCCAATATTGTATAAAAACAATTTCCTTAAGAGGAATTAGCATTAGGTCAAGCAGTCACCATCATTTACCACGCGTCATTCTTTTCAGTGTCAGAAATCAAAGATACTGTACCTTCTGTTTGTCAAGTATTTTCATGGCAAAATGCTGGCCGGTGTCTTTGTGTTTAACCAACATGACTCGACCAAACGAACCAGTGCCTAAGGTCTTCAAACGCTCAAAATGATCTAATGCTGCAGTTTGCTGGAGGGGCAGAAGAAGGAGTCGGTAAAAAAAAATAAAAAAAAAAATAAAAAAAATATTCAAGACAAATATTACAAATATCTCAGATTTAACAACACTGATAAATAAAGGCAACAATTAAAATGTCCTGACATGCCAATAAAGTGTATTAGCACAAAACAGTTTGTTCTGATGTGAAATAAACAAGTAGTTTGGGTATTTTAAAGATGTCTGATTTATAAATATACATAAACTGTATAAATATACTGTATAATATATGTATATACAGTAAATATACTGTATAAATAAAGGTTGAATGCATGAATAAATATGCATCTATATTTGAGAAAAGCCCAGCAGAGGGTGCAATGCTCTTGTAAAAGAAAAAGCCCTAATGCCTCCAGAGGCAGAGCTGTTCCCATGATTCTGCTCGTGAGCTAGTTAGCATAAAAACAATTCAACTACAGCTTCATCTCAAGATCAGATGAAAAATTGTCATCACACTGATATGTTTAATCATGAATTTGACAGAATGAAAAAAATAATTATAAACAACTGCTTTGACAAAAAACTGAATCAGTTTTAACACAAACCTGTGCTGGATTCTCCCATTTTTTCAGGAAATCTTCTTTGGCTTTGGCAAGAAACTCCTTCACTGTGAAGAAACAAACGGATATATTTCAAACAATGGTTTCGACATGTATGCATAAACACTTTGTTACAGCTGTGGTTGTTTTAAAGGGCTTTATAAATAAAGTATTATTACTGCTATTAAAAAAATAAAAACAAACTAGGGCCACCCAGATCCCATTTAATCTGGGCCCAGTTGAGAATTTTTGCACTAAACCCTAGAAAAAGGGGAAAAAAAAAAAAAACAGTCCAGCAAGTGAGCCCGATGGACATTTTTCATTTGAACATACTGGGTCGATAAACATTTTCTAATAGGCTCATAACTTTTTATGCCAGCTACAAAAGACCAAGATAAATAAAATGTATCTTCAAAGTAATCATGACACAAAGAGTTTTAATTCTGAGGAAGCAGATCCAGAACAGAAATTACATTTTAAATCTTCTAACATACAACTTTCCTGAAGCTGTTTAGGATAAATCTATTAGAAAAATCAATTGTGAGAAATTTTACTAATTCAACAAATATAATAAACTAACTCAAACTAACGCAATAAAACATGCATCCATCTCGCCTTTATGAGCAGAACTACTCGTGCTTTGGTGGCAGAGCAGCAACAAGCATGTAACATACAACTGTTAATGTCTGTTAGGACAGATTAATTACAACTTGACACGCACGTTGTCATATGGAGAAGTTCATGTTAACCCCTTATCTGTGCAGGGCTACGCTCAGCGCTCTGTGGGAACATGAAGATAATTAGCCCTTCCTCATTCTACCAAACTATCCACCGCAGCTGCAGGAGAACGACTTCTACCATTATGCTTGGATATAAAATAGTGAATGTTATGAATAGCTGGTGTTGGGGAAAAAAAAAAAAAAGAATAAATTTCAATTAACTGTGATGCTTAATTACTTTTATGAATATCAACCTATTTTGTTTCACTGAATCTTAAGAAAATATTTGTTGTTGACAATTTGGACACATAATTTCACAAATGTTTCACTGAGTTTAGGGTATAAATCATTAATATTTTTTTCCATAGCATTGGTACTGAATGCATTATATCTCTGAACAACTGAAAACCTGACCCATGAAAGGCCTTTTCAGGATCATGTAGATTTTCTGTCCATCTAATCAATATGAAACAACTGCCATGGGCAGTTTCAATAAAGCTGGCCAGTGGTCAATAATGAAAGTGGATAGTAATTCATTTATCAGCTTAGTGGTATAAATATTTACACTAAATATCTTCTGGAGTGATATTTGAATTTGAATGCTAAAATGAATAATATGACACGGTTACAGGCAAACATGCACATATACAAGTCTCAAGCTAATCCAAGAGAATCTCATACAACTACAAAAAGTTTAATCCTCGCTTAGCTCATCTGATTTCCTGCAAAATCTCTGAAGACTTGCAGCTCCAACAATGGGATGGGAGAAAGCCAGCAAAAATGGTAAAGACCAAAGTTCACATAAACATGTCAGGAGCACTGTGGCTCCCACAGAGAGCAATGAAAGCAGAGTGGTCGCCAGGGAGGACAACATTTCCCGTGAAGGTTTTTCAACTGCACATCCAAACAGAAAAAGCCAAAAATGGAGCAATTACTAGAATAAGTTGGAACTCTGCCGAGGAAAAACATGGATGAATTGGAAAAACGTAGCCGGAAGCTAAAAGGCCAAACTAACAGCTGTTCAAAGGAACTGTACTGGTCTTTAGTCAGTCTTTATTAGATTTAGGAGGCAAGCTGCAGATGTTGAAAGGCAAATAAACAAAACAACTGTCTCTATCCTGTAACTTTATATACCTTACCATCTGGGAGGTTTATGGCTACTTCTGGTGTTGCCGCTTCTGCTGAACGAGACCCTGATTCACTTGAGCGCGAGGATGATTCCCTCTTGCTTGCATGCCTTCTGGAGCTCTTCCTGTCACACATTAGCCTTGCAAGATCTCCCCAGTACTTCTTCCTTCACCTCTTTTTGTTCCTTCCTAAAGCCACTGGCTCATGACCCGTTCTTCTCCGAAAGCAATCTGGCCAGTCTAGCAACTAAAACTTGATCAAAACAGCCTTTTGTCCTGAACAGCAGAAGGTTTTTCAAGCTTTTCAGTGACTGCCACTTTACTGGAGACCAAGTTCAAAAAGTGGCATCCACCTCCACAGTCTAAGAGCATGGAATGCAGTACTGCTCCCAGTAACACCCATTCAGATCAATTGGACCATTGCTTGGTTTGTATCAATATTTATTGTGTACACAAAGTGCTCCCTGCTGTTCCCTCTCATGCCACACATACGCACACACAGGCTATATATATTGATCTAAACAGGGGCATAATCAGCAGAAGGCGGGGCATAACAGGCTGGTATAATTATCCAACCCAGAGATAAACTCTAATGCAAAACTAGGCCTAAGTAAATACCCTTGAGATGAATGTGACAGTTCCACTAAAGCTTTCCCAAATTAGCAGAACCAATCAGAAGTAACAGCTTTGATGACAAACCTTTAGAGATGATCTGGATGTTTTCAAAAACATAAAAGTGACAGTCTCAGGAGACAAGCAAAACAGGAACTCTCCAGCACAACTGAAACTTTCCCTCAGCCCAAATGCACCACCGTCCATGTAGTGCCAGTGCTGAATTGATCCTCCAAAAATCAATCTTTCATTGTCTCTCATGGGCCTCATTGGCTCACTCTGATGCAGAAATGCAAGGATTATATTAGGGCGAATGAGTCGACATTAAACCCAAACAGCAGCAGATCAGAAGCTGGTCAACACCAGGTCTTGTTCAGATAGTTTATAAAGAGGAATGTGGTGAATAGGAAAAACAGTAGAAGCGACAGAGCTAGGAATGTGTTTGCAAGCCTGAAAATGTAATAAATCAATTTCTGACAGGCTGCATATAGCCAGGGGACATTTACTAGGAAGCAGCCAATGGAAAGTTGTTTTATAATCTAGTGTCCTGAAACACAGTGGCCTGATAAATTTCTGACCAGTTGGGAAGCAAAAGAGCTAACACAAAGCTCAGTCACCTTACAGCGTTATGAATATTTAACTTTCAAAAGCAGCAGAAGAGTCTGAATTAACCAGTTTCACTGTGTAATTGCTATTATGACCATAAAGTTAAGAAGGGTGCGATCAAAATCAATCTCACCTTTCTTTTTCTTTACTTTTGTATAAGGGGTATCATCTATACAGATTTTTGATACAACACAAATCTATAAAATAAAATGTATGCATAAAATCAAACCAAACAAATCCTTTAAAACATTTAGTTTGTGATTTAATGCAGATTTTAATTTTACCGTTTTCAACTCTTTTTTTCCCCTCCCCTCTTCATTTTCAACTGCAGATAGCATGCCCTGAATGAGCATGCAGAATATCTAATCCACATAGTAGTGGTAGAACATGGAGATGAAATTAATATATATATATATATATTTTTGATCGCACATCAAAATGCACTTGTAGATGCCCCCATAATATACAATTTTTAAGGTTATATAGACATCTAGTGGTTAAACTGGAACCCGACATCCGAGAGTTACAGGCCTTTTGGACAACACACCACCCACTTTTAGTTTAATTGGCTGAGTTGATTATGATGTAAAAAAGAGACTACATTCGTAAAAGATTGTTGAAAACTTTTAAAACTTTTACCAGATGGCGGCAAATATGTTGATTGATTAGCTTTGACTGTGGCATCTAGTCAAGTCACCATATGAAGCAAAGCCAGTTTTCACAACCTCCCACTTAACAGAAGGAGCAAAACCAAATTCTTGAGAATCAAGGCCTCGCTGTGCAGCCGCCAATGTTTTTCTCAGAATAAAATTAAGGCTTGCTTTGAATATGTTCTTATTCGTGCTAAAGTGGCTAGAAAATGATGTTTACATGGCAATGACTTATTTTTAGTCAGGCTCTAATGAGTGGAACGTTGTAATACATGTAAAGACGACCAGCGTTTACAAAAAAAAACTGAATTATTAAAGTAAAGCCAGGCGGAGAATATTTATGAATGATGCAGTTGTCTTAATGGTGTTTTGAAAAGTATTGAATTTACAAACTTGCAGAACAATTACTTTAGGAAATCTCAAGGTCCTACTTCATCAGTTTTTACTTCCTATAGTTAAAGGATTCAAAGGACCACACTAAGTACAGTAGTGTATTTACCTGTTAATCATACATGAAATAGTTTTATTTTTTTTAAGTCAGAATCCCACTCTACTACAGCAAAGTTCCTTTTCATTTATTTGTACCACAGGATCTAAAAAAACTTTAATGCCTATTTGTGAATAGCTGACTTCTCTTTTAAAAACATTTTAACGTGACAAACAGAATTTTTAAGTTCTAAATCTAAAAAATAATCCTAAATACGAAATTGGACTTCTTAGTCAAATGGAAGACAACATAAAGATGCACACAGGAATACACTGCATAATAAAAAATACTGACAAATGGGTCACTGTGGCCAAACTTAGATGACAGCATTTCGGTAAAAATGTTAGTTTTCATGTTTTTAGTGTGTCTTTATTTTAGTTGCACAACCTGGCACTGTCACCGGTCACCCTGGCAAGAAAAAGGTACAGAAAATAAAAGCGTGAGTAAGAATAACAAGAATACTGTAGCAGTAAAAACTAAATGGAGCAAAATGGTTGAATTAACCACTTTTTAATACATTCAGAAAAAAACAAAAAACAAAACAAGATACTTTTGTTCTGGGCATGTTGCCCTGTGTTAAAGTGACATACTTTGCTTGACAACTAGTCAAACAACTGTGAATTAGAATAAAAAGTGTTTCAATCGGTGAAAATTTAAAACCGAAGACTTTGTGTCCAGTGAAAGAATTTAATTTTTGTTGGGCTTGAACACCACTGAGGTGAAGTAGGTCAGCTGCCAGGTGACCGTCAGTGAGAGGATCTGTATGTTGGTTTGCCTGCCTTCCCATGTGTGGAATGTTTCCCTCATTTCTCAAAGCATATTAAAGCGTCAGAGACCAACACTCTGATAAACCCTGTCAGAGAACGCCTGACTGCCTCATGCTTTGTTGCCATTTAAGGTGTACAGTAGTCCCTCGCTACTTCGTGGTTAGTTTTTCGCAGATTTTCAAAGTAAGATTGGACATGATGATGGCTGATTGATGAATGAGCCATGGATTGTTTATTTAAAATTAATTATTGTAAATGATTTTGCACCTGTGTGCAGCCCACAAGTGCAGGGAGAGCCCCCTCCTGCAGCCTGTCATGATCTCCACTCTCTGCCACGCACACATTTCTCCTGCTGCATCGGCTTTGTGAAGGGTTAACCCTTTGCTGTCCAGATGCACCAATCGACTTTTGTCTTCCAACTTAAAATTCAAAATACGTCACATCGTAAAATCGTCATAATCACAAAATATTTTTAAGAAGTGTTGAAAGTTATTTTTAGTTATCTTAGAACTTCTATGTTCAGTTGTTACAGTGTAATTGATAAAGAAGTACATTTCTGCTCTGTGCTGCGTGAAGGGTTAACCCTTTGCTGTCTTGCTGCGCTTCTCTTCTCTACAATTTAAATACTGTAACATTTTAAATAAACAATCCATGCTGCATGGATTGTTTATTTAAAATGTTACAGTATTTAAATTTTTAAGGAGGGAGATTGGGAGTAACAGGTGATGAGTGTGATTGCAGCCGGGCACGTCTTGACAAAGTTTACTGTACTTGAACTTGGACTACTGTATCCCTACTTCGCAGTTTTTCACTTCGCATGGGGGGGCAGGGTACGGAAACCCCGCAATAAACGAGGGACTACTGTAATGAATAAAAATGATGTTCTGTTTTTCACAAAGCAAGCACACTGCTTTGCAATTGGCTTCAGTGAAAAAATACAACATTATGGTAAAACCTCTACATGCTGTATTAATATTTGTATTTTAACAGTGTGCTGACATGACAGTTACATCTGCCAAACTCTGCTTACCAGTGGAAAGACCCCTGACACTGCATCCACGCAAGAGTACTGACAACGTCACAGTGCTCGCCTTCAAAATCAATGCACTGAAAAGGCTGGTTTCAAAATAAAAGCAGAGTATTTGGATTTATATTTGATTTCTGACTTTCCAATGACCTCACAAGGTAGTACCTCGCTTGGCTGACACTGCTGATGGCATTTGGAAGGGAGTCTCCAAAATGTTTGAAAGGGCGTTCTTAATTTCCTTGCGTGAATTGCAGAGGCTCGTAGATTTGTTGCTTGAATTTTGGGTGACAAACTCCTTGAAAAGACACAGAGCTGTCGCAGGCCGTTTCAGATCCTTCTCGGTTAACGTCTGTAAATTTTAAAAAGTAGGAGTTCTCTCTACACCTAAGACAACAATCAGTCAACCACAGATTGTGCTGGCTTGACAAACTTACTGTCTCTGCTCTCCTAGCACTTTGAGAGTTGCTCATTGTCAATTTTGTTTTTATCTGAACAATGGCAATAAAAATTTGGATTCTGCATTTTGACACGTATAGATGAGCTCTCCTATGATCAATAAATAAACAGCCACGGCTTAGGCTACACAGCTCTGAATGTCCAGGTCTAAAACATACACTGTCAATAAAATAATTATTTATAAACTGGACCCAATCGGCCAATTTTACATTTGAAAACTATTTTTCAGTGGATTAAATCATAAATGTTGAAGAAGCTGCCAAGGGGCTCTATAATGTGGGTGTAGATGGGCAATGAAATAACGTGCACTGCTTACAATACAGTTTTGCAAGCAGTGCACATAAAATGGGCCTTATTTTCAAAAGCTGGCTGCTCAAAACAGTCACGTGGCTTTTCTCGTTGCAAACACTCAGAATTCAGTGAGACGGGGCACAGAAAATGTAGGTATTTTCTCACAATTTTGAGTAACCAGCTGGTCTCCAGCAGCAGCACAGTACTAGCCTTAGTGGTTCTCACTCTGAGCAGCAGTGTGTTCAGCTTTTGAGGGTGGGGGGTATTTTTCTTTAAGAGGTTTCATCCGATTCATAAAGAAAGATGTCTAAAACTAATTTTAAACCTTCCAACCATGGTTTGGTGAATTTTACACCCCTAAAAGGTAAACTAGTGATCTTTGTCTGAAGAATGCAGTGATTAGTTTGATCAGTATATTTCTGGTTTTCAGAAACATTTACGGACAGTGCTTAGTCTACCAAGTTGCCATTTCAGCTCTGTGAGCCGTTTGAAGCAGATGATTGGAATATAAACAGCATGGTCTGCTGATAATCAGTACAAGCTTACAACAAAGACCCTTTCAGAAGAGACAGGAAGTAATGACAGACCTAAACACAAACCTGGTAGCTGTGTGCAGAACAGGTGGAAGGACAGCAATATTTATAGAAACAGAGTTGTACTTTGACAAAGTGCCACCGTACTGTGTGATCAGTTTAAAACACAAGTCAATGCATAACATAACTGGTTGTACGTATGGTCCTGCCCAGAGGGTTTGATACTGTGAATGCAGAGCTAAATAATAAGCAGTCAAACAATAATTTACATTTCAATCAGAGGGAAACAATTGTGTTAAAAAATGTAGAATATGTATGTTTAAATATGGTCATTACTACACTTCAGAGTTTTACAGAAAATGTTAGCTTATAAGAAACTTAACAGATGTTTCTCATATAATCAAGAAATCTCTTTTTTCTCTCCAGCAAGAACACAAAATGTAAGGTTCAGTAAGAATGATTTTTTTTGTTCATGTATATCACATGAAAGTTTAGACAGGTACAAACTAGTCGTACATAATAAACTAGTACAACCAGAAAGAGAGGTTGTTCTATCAAAGCAATCAAACACCCAACGCTTAGGTTCATGGCATACACAAAGTAACTAATAATAAAACAACACATTGGTTAGTTCTAGAAATTTAGATTGTTCATTAGTGACTGGCTTCGTTAGTGGTCCATAGCATGACCTACAGCCCCAGCCTCGTGATTCCTATCCAGATTAGAGAGAAAACTTACTCGAGCTGTAAGCCTCTAGCTCCTCCTGCGGTTGTTGGTGCGTCCCCACTCCACTGTTTATGTCTCCTAGACAAGGTCCAGCTCGGTGAAACAACCTTCCTGCCAGCTTGTGAATAACAGACATCTTACAAGGCTGAAGGAAGCCAGCTATAACAGCTTTTTGCAGCTTTCAGTACTATAGTACAGACTTTTAACAAAGTTAGAAACCCACAAAATTTTATGTCAACAGCATTAACCTCCCAAACTTCTAGCCTTCCTGGTTGGCTGTGTTTAGTCTATAGAACAGGAGAGGAGATGGCTGACTGTGCAGAGTCTGGGCTGGACCTTCCTCGCTCCTTCACTTCCTGTAGCAGTTCACAGAATCTGTCCGCCCCGATTCTTCCTGTGCACCAGAAATGAGCCCTTTATACCCATGCAGCAGCTCCCTACTTGATTTCTCTAGTCTGCAACGTCGTTTTGCAGCAGAGGATGTGCACCTGAAACAGCTTTCAGCATACCATTTCTATTTTTCATAGAAATCAAAATGGCCTGCCATGTTCTCCATTTGCTTTGTGGAAAAAAAAAACAAAAAAAAACGCCCCTGGGCGGGTGTGAGCTCTGAACCCCTTGCCTGCACCTGTCTCTGGAGCTCAGGCTGGGCCGACGGCGATCAGGCTGATAAGAACGTGGAGCATGTCACATGAACACATCTAAAAGCAGTGCCAATTCGGTTCCCGAATTTTAATTTCACTATTGTCAAAAGCAATACATTCAGCAGCCTTTTATCCACAACGCCCATTCACCACTCTGTTAATGCTAGAGATTGGAGTCCATTCTTCACACCTACCCTCTGACAGTAACAAGGACCTGAGGCTCACTTTGCAGATACCAGTTCCAATTGTGCACATGTAGGCATTATTTATGATGACATTAAAAGTAAAGACATAAAACTGTGTCCTTCCACGTGTTCTCCAGGGCCAGTGAGTTTGACTGAATGACTTAAAATCTGAAATGAAACAAGCATTTTCAAAAACATATTTAAACTTATTGTTACTAGGGCTCTTTGTGTCAATGCCAGCTTTTTTTTTTCTTCCTTTTACAACTTGTAATAATGCTCCCTTATGCAATATTTTCGAAACTGATCATGACAACATAAAGCTGATGTTAATTTTTTTTCAAGACAAATTATGTGCAAAACAATCACACACAACAACATGCACACACACACACACAAGCCCTCTTGTTCAAAAATATGTTCATCACATGCTGTTCAAGAGACTCAAACTCCAACGTTTCTGCCTGCAGAAGATCACCCTCCTGCATCATATGACCCCATCCTGGTGGTTAACAACCAACTGGTCTCTTTTTCTGTAAACTTGTGTTAAGAATCAACCGAATGAACCTAAATATTCCGTCACATCTCTGGATTTCTTGATAATACCAAGACCACGTAGAATGCTCTGTCCAGTCATTGCAATACATGGAAAACTACACAGTGAAAACGTGAAACCTTATGAAAGTAGAAGAAAACATCTGATAAACACAAACCACGAGAAACTCCTTTGATTGTTGTCATGCCAACTGTTACCTCAGAATATAACCCTGGGGCTCTGGATCACGAGCTTTCCCACAATATGAGAATGAACAGCAGTTTCTGGAGTCCGGTGAGGACTGAGGTTTTAGCCATTTCACATGGAATGGGCGGATGTAAAAAAATAAATACCTAAACGTTTGAACTTGAGGTTTATTGAGTGTATATAGGAATACGAAGGTAAGATAAATCAGTAAAACGTTGAAGAAGTTGTTTGAACTCTAAAACGTTGTAGAGCAGTTAAGTTGCTTGTAGGGATAATGATGGGAAGGGAGTACAGGAAATGACTACAGCCAAACGAGCAAGGGGCATTACGGCTGTAAGCTCGGGCGGAGGGTACTCACCACTTTCCATCTCATTGCCCTTCTTTGCGGTGGGCGTGTTGCCCATGACGGCAGCCTGATGGTCGTCTTCCTCGGCTCCGGATGACTTTTCCTTCTAAGTCGTTGACTCAGATTCTGCACCGTTAAAAAAAAAGTCGTTGGACTCAATTAAGTCGACAGCGAGTTACTAGCTAACGGCTATCATTATTGACAAATGAGTGCTTTTCCTTTGTTAAAGCTACGTTTCAGTTGTGACTTCGGAAAACTCCAAAAGAGTGTATCCAAGTCTGCAGCTGGAACTGACGCTAAAGGTTAGCCCGAGCTAGCGCTTTAGCTAGCCGTTAGCCAACGGATATCAGGTTGCTAACGTTAGCGTAAAAAAAATAAATAAATAAAAATCCAAGTGTGCACCAGCAAATCCAAGTGTCACTCAACCTTTTGGTTATTCCAGATGTGATTGGATGTTTCCCGAGTCCAGTTCAAATGCAAATCGTCGACAATAAGACGTTTCCGTATTTTACCTAGCTTGCTATTAGCTTCCAGCGTTCCTTGCAGTCGAATCCTGGCCTGAACTAACCAGGTGCTATCTCTGTGTAACGGCAGGCCTTGGCAGTTAAGACCTGGATTCCAGAATTTCTATCCGGGCAACTCGTTTTTTTCAGTCTGTTACTTAAATTGAAATATCTCCATCCGTTCCTAAATAATCCGTATGAGTCAATGAATTCCTTGGTCCGACCATCAGACTGTCGATTCTTCAAATCAACAGACCTCTTCCATTAATCTTCAGACCGCAAGGGAAACTCCAGTCATCCATCAACTAAGCCCCGCCTCTCATTGGCTGCCCAGACAAATACTTAGGCGACAGATGTAACACATCGAGCCCTGATTGGTTGAACGTCAACACATCAAAGTAATGCGTTGACGTGATTCGCCTGTTGAACTGCTTTAACCCGCCTCCTTCACTTACAAGTAACCAATACGGACGTAACTTTAATAGCTTCTTTTTTTTTTGTTTGTTTTAAAACCTTGAACTTTAAAATAACCTCGTTTAGTAAGATTAAAAACAAAATTAACTACCAATATTAAAATTATTTTTTGTAGTTCTGGGTTTTAGCTGTACTTTTTAGAGGGGGGGGGGGGATGTCAAATTGTTATGAGCTATTTTTAGTAAAATGCAAAAACGAGAGGATTCTCACTAATTCTTGTAATGCACATATGGCTCTGCACTTTAAATCAATAAGGAATAAAATCAGTTAGATATGACTTGCATACCTATTAAGAACAAAAGAAAGTGCTTTTGCTTAGAAATGTGCAACAGAAACACAATCATGCTCAAATAGGCAGCGAATACAATCTTTTTTTTTATTTGTAACAGAAAACTGAAAACAGAGGAAGAAAATGGAGGGATTATTTTTTCATACAAAGCCTATCCAAAGTTCAAAAATAAAAAAGTGCAATTTAAACACAAATATATCAGATTATGAAATAAATTTACTTCACATATTGTAAGTTTTGCCTATTGTGTCAGTGTTGAAATTTAAAAAGTAAATTGCTCAGCAAAAAAAAAAAAAAAAGAGAAAGTCGTAACAGTTTTCCAATATGTTTTATTTCAGCAGCATTGTTTTATAGCTGCAGTTATTTTTCACACTTAAGTATTGCTTTCAAATATTATTACAATGACTACACCTATAAATAAAAATTATTCCATCAGTGGAAGAAATGCTCACCTAAGCTGAAAGTTAGTTTTTGGGATGTTTTCGGAAAATAAAAGTAGTAAGGCAGGTCCTCACATCATTTCATCCACTTTCGAATGTCCATAGGCATTTTAAAAAATAAGGTGATGTCCTGTGATTCATCCCCTTTTGGACAGAAGGAGGCATCTCTATAAGCAGTCCATGGAGTTATCTGGTAGGATCCCCAAAGGTGGAGCCTTGCCAGGTTGACAAGATGGTGGGAGCATGGAGTTTGACGTAGGATCCACATTTTCAGAGTCTTCCATTCTTTCTGCACAGCCTTCCCAGTTTATATGGAATCTGGTGACACGTGGGTTTGACGCCAAAATATTTCTCTGAAGCTGAAAAACAAACAATCAGTGGGAGGAAAAAATGAGAAAACACAGTAAGTAGGTTCTGAAGCTTATAGCGCAGCTCATATTTATATAATATAATATGTGAAATATCTTGATTTTCTGAAAAGGTATTTAATTTAAGACTAGCCAACATCAAATTTTAAATAACCTCTGAGGTCAAATTCCACCAAAACTGTACTGCAACTTACTTATTTTTACAGATCAACTGTTCTAGTTGTAATAAAAAAATAAATAAAAAAATAAAAAAAACACGGTTTTTGTACACATTTGTTTTTAAAAAAACTGTTAAAACTCCTACAAAAAGTTTATTAAAATGTTATGCTACAACATTTCAGGTGTACAAGCGTGAAGTCTCAGTTCAAAAAAAATGTTGGCACCTGTGAGTGAAACGTTTCATTCCAAATGCCAGAGACCTCAAAAAATGTGACACCTACGATCAAACCCTTTTTTCATTAGAGGAAAACTCACAGCAACCGTAGCCTGAAACTACAATCCAAACAAGCAATGATGCTTAAAGAATGACAAAAATCCTTCCAAATGAGCTGGAAAAGGTTAATCCAATAATTGCATGATTCCCATTTGTTTAAATAAATACATAAATGTCTGGTGGAATAAAAATCCTTAATACCAGATATAATTAAAGCATTGAGCTACCTTTAAATTCCAGAGGGGGTGATGCAAAGTACATTTTATAAGTGTTTTACCTTAAAATTGATATGTACTTTTCTTAAATTTTAGTTTTCTCAGTGATTTTCCAAGCCTTGAATATAAGAGCTTTTATTATCCATGATATTATTTCAGAACAGCTATAAATAGATTATGCAGCTTTGTTGCCATCAGAAGGAATTTTAACTAACCTGCGAGTAATCTGGTTTGTTTGGAGGATTTTCACGAAGCTCTGGTTCTGTGTACTCGTTGTTCACGTAATACCCGATGCGAATAAACTCTTGTCCCCGATAAGTGCAAGTAATCAGCACTACGGTTACACCAACCGCATCACTTTCAGGAATCAATCCAGTGTTTGGGGCATCAGCCTGTCAAAAAGGAAAAAAAAAAGATTTAAAACCTATTCTTTGGAGTTGTGATGATAAATAATTGCTGTGTAGTTGTGAATGTGTAAGCTTGGTTAAACAACAAACTTCTAAGTTGCAAAAATGAATTTTTCTGCAATCAGTCTCACCTGAAACACAAACATATGTCTTCCAGCAGGAACTGGGCCAACCAAAACTGAGTCCAGGATTTGATCATACTCCTCGCTCTCTGCTGAGCCTACATAGATGATCTTCCATTCCAGATCTATATATAAAAAAAAAAACAAGCACAAAGTAAACTTTTACTTTATTTGTTCCAAAGGAAGAGTATATAGCTGTAAAATGAGCAGTGAATAAAACGATGCACTCGCCATACAGAGAAAAAAATAAAAGCCAAGCCAAAATCTAAAAATTATAACAGATGATTATCTGAAAGACAAGTTATTAAGAAACAGGAGTTTATCAGTATGAAAAGTTTTCAGCCCAAATCCTTTTGAGACCAGAGCACTACTGCTAAAATACTTGTTTGTATTTGTAAAAATTGTGTTAGTTTTAGTATTTATCATAGGTTTGGCCAATGAACTGGAAAATTATGAATCTGTCTGGCTTCTAGTAAGAAAATCCCTAAAGAGCTATTCATTGATATATTGTATTTAGTTTTAAACTTACTATTATTCTCCTTTCAAGTCAGTATTTTCCAATACTTTTTCACTGTGCTGGCTTATTTGTAGAGCTTAAAATAAAAAAAAGTAATTTGTATCAACATTAGATGTCAGATTATAACTATTCACTAAATGCTCAGGTACTAACTAAAGTGCAAAAGCATAATTTTTTTAAAGACTTTCAGAAAGCCAACATAAACTATGTTAAAAGCTACAAGACGATCTGGGTTCTTAAAGGCAGAGTACAAATACATCTGAGGCGTGTTAAAACTTTTGCACTTGTCTTTACCGTATCTGACTATTTTTGCGTTAACTTTTTCAACCAAACTTGGTCGATAACAGTTGTTCTCTTCAGAAATCAACGCTCGTTCAGCCTCGGACAACATATTTGCACAAAATACTCTAAGGACGGTGCCTACCTTCAGGGAGGTCCTCCATACACTCAAAGGTTATTTCGAACTGAAAGGGGTTCCCAAAGGGACTCGGGTTGTCGAGAACGGCCACATTCAACACTTGCACCTTCGCCATTGTTGTCGAAGCGCTAAGACGAGGGGGGCTAATCGAAAACAAACGCGTTCGTCCAATTTTCCAGAGTGCTTTAAACGCAACACACTACCACAAAAGATTATTATTAGACACACACTTGTAGTTTTAACCAACGCGTGCCTTTTTATACGACTACTATAATACTTCTAAATGCGTCAAAATTAAGCACAAGTGTGTATTTTTTTAGCAAATTGGCAATAAATTGCCGCTCTCCCGCCGCTTTGACAGTCCTACCCAGGTTTCACTGCGACTACGGCAAGCTAGAAGTACGCGAAGCACTATGCGAAGCACAACCTCTGTTAAAAAAAAAAAAAAAAAAAAAAGAGCCAAGGGCCTCTACTGGCCTCTAGCGGCAGAAATGCACAGTACAACCATATTATTTGGTATTGTACTGTATAACTCCATGGGTCAATCACCTATTGACTACACCCAGTATATTTGATTACAGTATGTTAATGATTAATTACAGCATTTATATTTAATTTCAACAATGCAGTATTTCTTTGTCAATGTATTTTTCTTATATAGGGCCATTCCCTGTTTGCAATATTTCCCATTTCTTCCTCTTCAGTTCTCACGCATTCACACATTTTCACTGGAAGTGGCAGAAATGAAGATGTTGAGGTTCTCCTTAGAAGTAATAAGGATGGATAAGATTAGGAATGAGATCATCAGAGGTACAACACTGGTTGAACAACTGGGAGATAAAGTTATAGAGAGGCCAGACTGAGATGGTTTGGACATGTCCAGAGGAGGGACAGTGGGTATATTGGTAGAAGGATGTTAGAAATGTAGCTGCCAGGAAAAAGAGAAAGAGGAAGGCCAAAGAGAAGATATATGGATGCAGTTAGAGAGGAGGTAGTTGGAGTAAGGACAGTGTGAGATGGATGAGGATGACTCGCTGCAGCGACCCCTGAAGAGGGAAAAGCCAAAAGAAGAAGGAGTTCTCACACATTCAAAAAGTTAAACCTAGTGGAAGTTACAATGACTAAAAATAATGCACAGGGAGTGAAACTTTGTCAAACTTGATGTTAAATTTGTTTTGCAGTTAACATAAATGTGCATCTGTGTCTGACTGAAATGGAACAAATTCATAGATTTATTTTGGTTAACAGTTAACAGTAATGCTGATTCAGACTACAATGTTGCTTTACTGTTTGTCGTTTTGCCCCCCCCCCCCCCTTCATTTTTTGACAAGAAAAATACTTCATGAAATTTTAATTTTACATATCAACATTTTCTGCTCCATCTGGAATAGTATACGATGACTAGCTGAAGTATTTGTTATATGTACAATTCAAAATACTCAAATATTTTTCCGCAGAGAAATACACTGAGAGCTCTTCAGTTCCTTGGCAAACATTACTCTGAACTATACTTGCTCTATTTTGGTCTTCTCAAGCTCCTCTTTAGCTACTGTCTTGCTACAGTTTATATGTTTTGCTAAATATAGCTTTTAGATAGGGATTTACTACAAAAACATTATTTAATAAGTTACAATTTTGCTAATGTTAACTTTTACAGTTTTATCTTTTAGCTATTGCCAGATTTTACTTTTTTCTAGATTTGGTCATTTTAGTTCTTAGCTGTTTTGCTAATTAGTGTTTTATTTACTATGATTTAGCTAATTTTAGCTATTAACTATAATTTTGTAACAACTACTTTGTAGCTGTGGCTTGCTAGATTTAGCTTTTACTTTCTATTTAGCTCATTTTAGTTTTGAGTTATGCAAATGGAAGCCTTTAGTGATAGTTTTACTTTTTTAATATTTTAGTGTGTTTAAATCTTTAGGTTTTGTTTTGCTTGTTTTAGCTTCTTGCTACTATTTAGATATACCATCTTTTCTGTTAGTAGTATTTTCTATGATTTAGCCAATTTTAACTTTTAGCTGTGGTTTTGATCATTTCAGTTTTTAAGTTATGATTTTGCAACTTTAAGCTTTTCACAATTGTTTTGCTTATTTAGGCTTTTAGCAATAGTTTTATTTACTTTTGCTTGTACCTCCTGTTCTGCTTGCTTTACCTTTTACAATAAACTTCAGGGAAAGTCATCACCCACACTTTATTTTGCAGAAAGAGACGAAAAAAGTTCATTTTTCAGTTTCTTTGTCTCAATCAACCATCATGATGTCCCTCCTGCCTCATTTCCAATCTGTGTTTGTAAATGTTTTCCATTTAAACAAAGTTACCACATAATTAACAATATAACGCTGCTCTTTCCAAGAAGCGCCTCAGAGCTCTCAGACGGCATCCACATGAAAATCAGTCCAGATTAGACCTGAAGCAGACCACTTCTGAGTCTGAGAAGAGGAGATTAAGGAAGGATTAGAGCCCACTGGACCAGCTGGCCCCCAAATTCATCCTTCAAATATCCAAGGAATGTTGATTTCCTTTCTCTTCATGGGAGTCCTGAAACCTGTTGGAGGCGCTGTTTGCTCCCCTCCACCTCCTCCTCCTCCAGACGCTGCTCAGATCGAGTTTACTTCAGATGAACAGAATAAACTTTAGGAGACATAGGAGGAAATAAAAAGTCCGTTTTCAGGGATGATTTGAGCTTCAGGGGAGTTGTGCTCTGCTTCAGTGAGCTGCTGTACAAAGGAGGATCTGTGTCCCGCTGCAGGTAGATAACTGCGCTCAGGTGAGGCCGTGTAACACGAAACTGGACCACGTGACCAGCGAGGAGTCAAAGGAAAGAAAAAACTGCTTTTCATGAGGTGATAAGAGACTAGCCGAGGATGTAGTCCGTCTCTAAAGCCCTGGGACTTTTAGAGACCTTTTATCAGCTATAATGTCACCTGTTGTTCGTATCGGGCGGGAGTTTATCGGACTTTAGTCTTTTTAAAAGGTGAGGCGGAAGGTTTTCGTGTGAGGCGATCAACCTGTTTGATGTTTCCCGGTTCGGCCCGACTGGATCAAAGTAAGTGTTTTGTCAAATACCGATTTCTTTTTGTTCTATGATGACTGTAATAACAATAAGGTTGGGAAAAAAAAGTATTTAATTCTGATTAGTGATTCCAACATGTGCGCTATTAATAGCTTCTTATTTCTGAGCGGTGCGAGCAGGTTCATGATTCAACATCAGGCTGAATGTGACTCAGCCGCTCACCGGAACCTACAGCTACTTCCTGCATTTATAACAGCAATATTAATATTAATAACAACCAGATAAAATTGTATTTTCTGCAAAGATGCAGTGCTGACCGCCGAAATTGTAGCTAAAAGCCCAATTCACCAAAAGCATAGCTAAAAGCTAAAATAAGCAAATCATTGCCTAAAAAGTAAAATCAGCTTAACTGTAGCTAAAAGCTAGAATAATAAAAACTGTGTAGCTGCATGCTAACATAGCCCCATGTTAAAATCTCCAAATCATAGCTAAAATCAAAGACTATAAAAGCTAAAATTAAAACAACTAGCTAAAAGCTAATGTCACCTAATTTAGCTACATGCTATATTTAGCTAAACCCATAGCTATGGTAAATGCTAAAATCACCAAATCAAAAAGATAGCTAAATGCTAAAATCACCTAACTGTAGCTACATGCTATATTTAGTTAAACCATATCTAAATGCTAAAATCCCCTAAACAAAAAGATAGCTAAAAGCTGAAATTAAAACAATTGTAGCTAAATGCTAAAATCACCAAACTGTAGCTACATGCTATATTTAGTTAAACAATTTCTAAATGCTAAAATTCCCAAGACAAAAAGATAGTTAAAAGTTAAAATCACCAAACTGTACCTAGATGCTATATTTAGTTAAACCATATCTAAATGCTGAAATCCCCAAAACAAAAACATAGCTACAAGCTGAAATCAAAACAATTGTAGCTAAAAGCTAAAATCACCAAACTGAAGCCACATGCTATATTTAGTTAAACAATTTCTAAATGCTAAAATTCCCAAAACAAAAAGATAGTTAAAAGTTAAAATCACCAAACTGTAGCTAGATGCTATATTTAGCCAAACCATAGCTAAATGCTGAAATCCCCAAATCATAGTTAAAATCAAAAGACTAGCTAAAAGCTGAAATAAAAACAACTGTAGCTAAAAACAAACAAACAAAAAAGCAAAACCATTTCTAGAAGCTAAAATCAGCACAACTGTAACTATAATACAATATAAGCAAAAATGTGGCTAAAAACTAAAATCAGCAAAACTGTAGCTGAAAGCAAAATCAGAAAAACCATAGCTAAAATCTAAATTTAACAAACTAGACACTAATTACTAAACTCAGCTAACCTGTAGGTGAAAGTTGCACACCACAAAATCATAGCTGAAAACTGAAATGAGCCACATCCATCCATCCATCCATCCATCCATTATCTTTACCCGTTTGTTCCATTTTGGGTCACGGGGGTCGCTGGTGCCCATGTCCAGCAATCACTGTGCGAGGGGCGGGGTACACCCTGGACAGGTCGCAAGTCCATCGCAGGGCCACATAGAGACAAACGAGACAAACAACCATTCACTCTCTCACTCACACCTAGGGACAATTTAGAGTTACCAATCAGCCTAACATGCATGTTTTTTTGGACTGTGGGAGGAAACCGGAGTACCCGGAGAAAACCCACGCATGCACGGAGAGAACATGCAAACTCCACCCAGAAAGGCCCCTGGACCGGGGTTTGAACCAGGGACCTGCTCGCTGAGAGGCAGCAGCTCTACCAGTTGCGCCACCGTGCTGCCCGAAATGAGCCACATTGTAACCAAAAATATTTAATCACAAAAAGCATAGCTTAAACTTAAATCAGCAAGACAGAAGCTAAAACCTAAAATTTACTAGACCATAGCTAAATGCTAAAATCCCCAAACTGTAACTAAAATCAGAAAAACAGTTGCTAAAAGTTGAATAAATAAACTAACTAAAAAACAAAAAGGAAGCAACATTGTAGCTACAAGCAAAAATGTATCTAAAATCTAAAATTAGCTAAATTGTAGCTAAATGTATAAACTAGCTAGACCTTAGCAAAAAGCTAACACCATGGCTAATTCACAAAAATCATCGCTGAAAGCTAAAACTAGCTAAAAGTTAAAATCAGTAATAACATAGCTACAAGTTAAAATGAGCAAAACCGTAGCTAAAAACTAAAATCAGTTAAACTGCAGCTAAAATTATCACAAGAATATAAATCAGAGAACAATGCTTTTGATGTAGTCACCAGCTAACTGGTTGATCCACTATGAGAAGATTCTGCTTATAAGACTGAGTTTGTTTCGGCTCCTCAGACTGAAAAATTGTTTTTGATAAAAGACAAAATGTTTCAACAAAGAGTAACATGCTGGTGATCCAGAGGACCTGACTCAACCTTGTTAGACTGCATTTGAAGGCCTCAAAGAGCTCTCAGTGTATTTTTATGGGGAGAAAAACAACAGGAACACAATGGTGTGACTGCTGACTCAGCATTCACACAATAATAATGTGTTTTCGTCTGTTCTAAAGGGGCAGCAAATCCTCTCGGTGACCCAGCAACATGGACACAAGCTGATGCTCCAATGGCCCAACTTGCCCTCAGCTGGCATCGCAGGCCACACGGGGACATGTGTCCAGGCGTCCCAGCCAAACCGGGAGTCGTGGTTGGGAGTGTTTTATTCCTGGTACTGAGCAGTAATCCTGTATGGGGTGAGACATACACTCCCATACAAATGAGACATCCTTCCAACCACACCTACACACACTCACACACCATTAAATCTTACAATGACACATAAAGATATCTGGAGACACGGCGGGAACAGTGTGATACGAGTGCGGGCTCGTCCGTGTTTTTAGAAGAACGTTAGATTTACTCATGGAGAACTACATGAGTGCGTGACCACAGCCGCCCTCGCTCTAACCCCGACTCTTTCTTATCAAGTTGTACTTTTGTCCTTGAAAATCTTACCATTTGCTTAGTGAATGATTGACTCAGAGGAAGGCATGGGGGCAGGTTTCAGTTTTCAAAACAAAACGTTCTCTTTATACTTTGGACACTGAGCACAAACAAAATGTGCAAATTAGAGTTTTTTATTTTTTCCCGCCCTAACGTTCAGACCAGTGTAGTGTTTCCCTCTGCATTCCTCAAGTTCTCATCCTGATTTTTTTTGCTCTGCTGGTCGAGGAGTTAGAGAAGCTCCACGAGGAAACAGAATGGTCACACGGCTGGACACGGATCAGACGGCTGATAACCAGCTCTTGACTGGAGGAGTATCTGTTGCTCCAAAGTGGGACTTTGTTAAAAAGTAACTTTTGCTGGACTGCAGGTTCCTTTCTCTTTCTTTGTTTTTTTTTAGCCTGAGAGCAAAAATGAAGGAGCATAAAAAATGTAATTTGATTGAGCAGACAGACAGTTCACTCCAGTGGCAAAATTTCAAAACATATCTTGCGCAATCATTTAATGCTTAAAGTTGTTTTTGGGAATGATTCTCAGCTACTACCACACCCAATTTACACTCATTATTTGTAAAACGGGCTGAATCAGAGGAATTTTTGTGTTTGATAACATCACTGGAGCCATTTTGATTGGGCGTGACTTAAAGGTTAATCAGTTGCACGTTAACAGATGGGATTACCATAATTTCCGGACTATAGAGTGCACCCGAATATAAGTCGCACACACTAAATAAAAAAAAAAAAAAAATTTGTACATATATGGTATAAAGTTTATTCATTTTAATAAACAAAACAAAACAATTCCATAAACTATATAAAAAAATACAAGAGATTTAAAATGAAAGGCAGCAGAAAGAAGAAAAAATCTTATTATATCTGCCCCTTTTTTCAAACAATTAGTTCAAACATAATAATCTTCAAGTAACAGAACAAAACGAATAACTCTTTCTAATTTTTCTAACTCTAATACAATACACACTAAGCTACTTCATATATATTGTTTAACAATATATAGGCTGCGCTTGTGTATAAGCTGCAGGTGTCCATGTTGTAACTTGAGATATTTACAGTAGTCCCTCGTTTATCACGGGAGATCCGTACCCTGAAGTCCCATGGGAATAGTAGTAGTAGTTTATTTGAGTATTTTTATATCTATATACCGGTGTAT